GGCGTTATCTTGGTTTCTAGGAACGTCGAGGGCGGCAACCTAAGGGTTGGGTGCTGGACAAAGGATGTTCAGAAGTCAAGTAATAAAACTTCTCTAAGGGTGGAAGCCTTGACAGTTCAAAAGGAATCCGATGGACAACTGCCTGATATTCGGGGTTGTGACATTGACAGGTTTTTAGAATCAGGGCGGATGCACGTCACATAAATATGGTCACACACACGGTCAAGATGCCCAGTTCCAAACGGACTTATTCCCACGGACAAGGGTCACAGGATGTTATAACTCAGTGGTCAAAGCGAGCGTGCTTAATTGGAAAAAGATGTGACAGCAATATTCAAAGAATTGTATTTACAAAAGCTATTGTCTTTTATCTCGCGTAGTATAGTAGCGCATATATAAGAGAAAGTAGTGGACAGAATTTAATAAAATTGACACTACATTATCTTTTCACCAATATCTAATTTTTATCCAACTTTGACCCAAATCGAACGGGCCCTTTCTGAAATATTGGCATATCTAAAAAAATACGTTTGCGCGTGCGTAAGCGGAAGTACTGGATGGAATTTGATAAAATTGATATAGGACCATCTAGGCACCAAGCCCCCATAATCCCTAAAAATTTGGTAAACGTTACTAGGTGATATGCCCGTCACATCGATTTGACTACAGACAGACAGACACCGAACCAAATTTGAATCTTCATGTCTGAAACGTGAAACGCGAGTGGAATTTTTCGATTCTGAGCACAAATTTTTTTTAACCTCTCGCACGAACACAATGCTTCCCTACCTTCGGTAGTGAGGAAGCAAAAAAAAAAAAAACTTACCACCAACAATCCGTGAAGGGTCTTGGGTGCAGTACTATGTGATGAAGTTCTATTACAAAGCCAACGGTTATGCAGGGAGGTGGTTGGGCCGATATTACGCTCAACCGCCAGGTTTTCCCCTTAATTATTATTTTAGTTAAGAGAACCCACCTTATAGAGGCTGGATGTGCTCCAGTCTATCCCTACCGCAGCGTCACCTCTTCATCAACCGGATTCGAACCTAGGACATTGAGCTCTGGAAGTCAGTGCGTACCCACTGAGTTACCCCGCTCTCTCTAAAAAAAATATGTCAATTGAATTTGATAAAATTGAGACTAGGTATCATCATTTATGTATTATCAACCATCACGACGCATTAAAAATTCATCAATGCGAATTAATGACCGTAGTTGTGTTATTTCTTTCACATGGATTTGACTATAAAAAGATATGCAATTTAAAAACTTATTACCTCAAATAATGTAATAGATTGCCACAACATCTGCTATTTGATTCTTAAAAATTGGATACTTTAATTGTTAAATGAAAACATAGAAATGATTGAATCGAGGTCATTGGTTAAGTCTAGTGCTGCCGATACCGGATCTTTTGTGATTACAACGGTTTCTAAAAATGTGTGTAATTGAATGAAGGAAAGAGGATAGTTTTTGTCAGGTGATTCTACAAGTTTCTTCAAAGGTAGTAATGAATCGGTCAGAGTTTTATTTTCCGTGTTAATTTGAATGTTAGAGGTTTTAGTTTCCGCGGTAATTTGGATGTTAGAGGTATTTCTACTGTTAGAGGTTATGTTTTGTAGGCCTTCATTAATCTGCAAGTTACCTTTTTTATCTTGTTCCGGTTCGTTGGGATCATGGTGACTGCTAGAAGGAAGACTTGTTGTTGAGGTAATTGGATTCGTTGATGTATTGTTTTTATTATTTAACTTCTCCTCTAAAACTTCGATTTTCTCAACTAAACCTTCAATAATTGAAGAAAGTTTCCCTATTTGTTGGATTATTTCGATACTAGGTGCTGGAGTGGACACAATCTTAGAAAAGCTGCCCAGAGGAAGAACTGTAGGTGTTTTATTTTCAACTATTCTTTTGGCCACCGGATAGGGTACTCTATCGGTTACCCTTACCTTTTGAATTTCCTTTTCTTTCAGAAATGCAGGACAGTTTCGAGACCACGCAGGATGTTGATCAGAACAGTTAACACATTTCAGTGGTTGGCTGCACTGATCTTCGTGTTGAGTAAGCCCACATTTGCCACAGACTTTACGTTGGCATTTCGCCGATACGTGGTTGGATGAGAAGCAATTAAAACATCTTATAGGATTTGGGATATAGGGTCTTACTTTTATGTTTATGAAATTAAGTTTAAGATGATCCGGTAACACGGGCTTCTCGAAAGTTAGGATAATCGATGATGTTGGTACCTTCGTTTCTCCTGACCTTCTAAAAATTCTTTTCACTTCCACGACTCCTTCGTCACGTAGCTCTTCTTTAAGTTCTTGTTCTGAACAGATATTGAACTCAGGACAGGTTATTATTCCTTTTGTGTAATTCAAAGAAGGGTGGAAAGTGAAATTCAAGGCTGAGTTTTCGTATTTCTTGATATTTTGTAGATTAAAAAAATCCTTTTCATTGACCACTTCTAGCAGTACTTTGCCACTTCTTAAAAACTTCACTTTTGTTTGCGGAGCAAAACTTTGAATAAACTTACAAACTTTGAATGGGCTTGTGTTTAGGAAAGTCTTATCTTCATCTGCAAAAGATACTTCGATATATTTTCTTACCCATGATGTTCCTGGCCGTCTTGAGCACATGGAGAAGATATCGGGAGGCTTCGGTTCCTTAGTCTCTGACATTTCACTTTCCAACTTTGGTTTTGGAGAGGTGGTAGTTTTTTTTTGGGGGGAATAAGTTTCCAAAATTATAGTTTGTGCCTTTCTGTACTTTCGCCTATACGATCTCACTTCCAAAAGATGTTTGTGCTTGAAATATTTCAATTCAAATATAGAATTAAATTTTTATGATATTTACTTTTCAAGCTATCATATGTTCTCTAATTGTTAAATGAAATTTGATGATATTGATAATAGACTATTATTAAACTTTTACTTGAATCCATGGGGAAAATGGAATAAGTGACTTTTTAAATGCAGGTCTATAAAAAAACGCTGTAAATTATTTCACAATGGTTTGTTATTTCCAAACAATGATCCATCTAAAATACTATTACCTTCCTACTGAAAAAGAAAAAGAAATAAAAGGTGATTCCAATTATTGGCCTACACATGTTTTTGTCATCATTAGTAATTTGCTTTAAAAAAATAGCATTCTTCAGTAACACATTCAAAAATCAAAATCCAAAACAAAGGATATAACGTTTGTAGTAGAACATATAAAAAACATCTAGAGACCATACATTTGCTCCAAATTGTCCGATTTTAAACATTTTTTTAGGAAATTTTGTAAACTTTTAAATAACCATATACAATATCAACAAAAAAGTGTATACTTTTAGAGTTATTCGGATCTAATTTTATCTAATCTTGTAACTTTTGTTTACTTATTTAACTCGTAAGAGATGAAGACTTTAGCCAAGTTTCATTGAAATCGGTACATTCGTTTAGGCGCTACAGTCTATAGAAACGCAGGTTTTTCGACCATAATCTTGAAAGGAAAAGGCGGATAGTAATGCCGATGAAGGAGGATCATCCTCGAGTGACCTCTGACTTTAAATATAAATTTGAAAAAATCGATACTGTAGTTACGGACGGCGGACGAACAAAAAAATTGTATTCGTTTTTGGAATTCTACATATCTAGAAACGTAAAACCTCAAATTTTGAGAGGGGTTAAGTTTTTTTTTTTTCGATTACAATGGTTTATTATTGAAAATAATAAACCGAAAATATATTTGAGCATCCGTAAGCGAAACTATTCTTTAATTTATTGGTTGATGGATACTTCAAATTTTGTTGTCTCTCTGACTTCCCTCCAACTTTGAACTTTGTCTAAAAACCTCTGATTTGGGTAAAAACCCGCATAATTCTTAACAAGTTCATCATGTAGTAGATAAATACTCATTACATGGGCTTGACTACAGTCAGACAGATTTAAAACCGAATTGATTTCTAAAACTTGAAACATGAGTAGAAATTTTCCATTCTGAGGAATAAAAAATGTTTTAACCTCTATTAAAAAGTTTCCCTAGCTTCGGTAGTGTTTCTTTAAACATTGAAGGATTTAGTTGACGGATTAACATACTAGTCTGTTGAATGAATGAATGAAAACGTGTTTATTAAACTTTCTTAAAAAATTATTCAAAGTAAAATATATATATATATATACAAGCAACAACACATAGATAATGGAAAATTCCGGCTGTCGAGGTCTGTGTGTAATCAATAATAAATATTCATCACATTTATAACTAAAATAAATGAGCAATAATATATCTTATTGTGTTTTTATACATCCATTCTAGCAATTTTCTTTTTCACTGTCTCATTTGTTTAGACAGAGTTTTCAAAAAACAAACATTAATACATCACAAATCCAACAAATAAGAAATTTAAATTCAACAATAATAATAATAATAATCATCAAATACAATATAACAATAAAACAAATTTTACAATATATAAACACGATATTTTATAGTTTGCTATCTGACTAATTGAGATCTTTGCAATGTGGCCTGCTGTACATAATTGCTTAAGGCTTTCCAGTTAGAACCCTTTAAGAAACCAAATAATTCTTCCGGAGAACAGATCCGCTGCCCAAAACATGTCTCTCTTATCTCCCTGAATATGTGGCAAGTCCCCAATAGGTGAATGATATCCTCTTTTTCTTGACAGTGACATACCGGACAGCAATCGTTGTACCCCATCATCCATAGTTTTACGCTTAAATCGAGTAATTCTGTCCTACATCGAAAAATTGACCATATAGTCACAATATCAAAACTATCATTAAGATAGGGGTGTATCAGTGCCCACTGAACATACCCCTGCGTAAACAGAAAAACTTGAATGAAGACATTTTTGAAGGTTATTTTGTTTTTCTAGATCCTCTACCCTACGTCTAACAACAACCAATTTTCTGCGCAGATCAGCGATATTTGCAGTATCAAGATTAATACTAGTCTGTTATAATATGGTATATTTTAGTAATATAATGTTGCAGCATTCATGTTGCTGGATCTTGGCTATGACGTATGGCTTTCCAACCAAAGAGGGACGTTCTTCAACCAGTATAGCTTGAAGTATCACAAGACAGACCCTCCATTTTGGGATTTCAGGTTAGTCTAGAATATTATAAATGTTTTGTTTCTAACAAATAACGTATTGTTTTGTATTAAAGTAATATTACACTATAATATAACACCAAGAAAAACAATAATATAAAGTAACAAAATATTTACGATTTTTTTCCCGCAGTTTCCACGAATCTGGATATTACGACCTACCAGCTTTCATTGATAAAATATTGGCAGTACGAAATGTCCAGCAGATTTTCTTCATAGGACATTCATTTGGTAATTTAAAATTTATATTTTCTATGCCAGTTTATTAGTCCGCGATACAGACTCCATTAATATTATTCTAAATTTTCGTGAACGGCTTCAACTAATCGCAAATTACAACTTTTTTTCTACTGAAATTCTCAGAAACGTTTTCTCATTAAATTAATTAATTAGGCACTAAAAGCTCACAAATACTCAATTGCTTTCCACTTGAATCGTAAAATAGTGTGATCATAAAATCGACGGAGAAGGTGATCTAAAAAAATCTGGTGTGTTCACTCACACGATTTTACGACATATCTATTTATTTATTTATAGTACCGATTTGTAGTAGAATATTGCTTCGTCAGGGAAAACAGTTGATAAAATATATTGACCAAGGTAATGACCACTTTTTATAAAATTATTAACATTCGCTAAAACTTCGTGAACAGCTTCATCATATCATAAAGTTACACAATGGATTAAATATGTAACCAATTATAATAATAACATTAATTTTATGCACATTTAATTAATTTAGTTTATCTTTGATAGCTTAGAACGTATTATCTAAAAGCACCTAAAGACCACAATAAGACTCCTTATCAGGACTTAAGGGACAATAACAGATTTCAGCAAAAAGCCCCTTCCTCACATACCTCAAATCAGTACTGATTATTGATAAATTCCTTGGCAGCTCTCTTCTGACTATTATTTCTGAATATATTTATACATTCCCATTTGCTTTCCACTTTAACCTAAGATAATTGGATGACAAAATCGATAACAAAATTTCTGGTGTGTCCACTCACACGACTTTCCTGCCTATTTCATAAACGTTTTTATATCTTTAAACTTGTCCAGTAAGAAAAAAAAAATTGAATTAGATTTATTTTCCTGATAATTGATCAAAGAAATGATTTGAGTACGATTTATTTGATAAATTAAAGCAATTTAAACCGGCTTGTGGAAGATCAGCGTAAAAAAATTCAGCGTAAAAAAATTAACTCTAATATTGCAATTCAAAAACTTTTTGCCATAACCCAACAATTTCTGTTAAAACTAGAGGAAATAGTGAAACTTGTGTGATACGGGAACCAGATTTTTCACTCTCTACTTACTTTTCTTTTTTGTCTCTATTTCACGGTGAAATAGAGAAAGGTCTAGAAATAGAGGTGAAATTTTCAGCTCATTCCGGCACCGGAAATAGAACTCATAATTTTACACACGAAATCAAATAGTTGTAACTTCGTTAATAATTATCCAAAATAAACGATTTTAAGACAGTTTTGTAGGGAATTTCTAAACCTTTAATCAAACAGAAATTTAAAATTTAGGTTAGGTCAGGTTACGAGTTGACCTTGGCGATCAACAACTTGGTTATTACATCTTTGAGCTATGATGTTATTATTGTTATTGGTAACTTATATTTCTGAATGCAAAAAAAAAAAAGTTTCTTTTTAAGTATTTCTATAATTGTTATATTCTATAGTACAATTTTGTTTGTTTTAAAAGTTTTATAATATTTTCTATTGAATTTACTGAGTCTTTTAATGCTATTTCTCTACAACGGGATATTTTGTTTTTTACAAGGCTTGATTTAGAAATGTACAATCTCCTATTATATACTTTATGGTTAGCTGGAACTGGCAGATATCGCAATGTGGTTGGTCCTCTTTTGTTACTAAATTTGAAATGTATAAATTTAAAGCGAGTTAAACCGCAAAACATTTTTCTTTTCTTTATAATTTTGTTTATTTATTTTTTTCAGAATTTTCTTGGGAATTTAGTCCATGTATGAAAATTAAAACTTATAAAAAAAAATTATAAGAAAGTGTCATCAAAATTGTTAGAGCCTTTTTTTTTTTTTTTTTTGAAAAAACATTCTTTTCACTAAAAAAGATGCAGCCGCTTTGGTAGTTAAAGCCCTACAAAATAAAGAAGCAACAAAATCGGTCTACTAATTCTCAAGATAATCTTGGCACAGACAGACCAATGGCTGAAAATGTGTTTTTCGGACTCAGGGGACTCTGAAACGTGCAGATTCGTAGAAAACCGCACATCAGAATTTTTTCTCGATCGCAATACCTTCTTTACCTAGTATAGGTGGGAAAGTAAAAATATTGGGTTGCTTGGCCTGTTAACCTGGATATTTTGACATATTGCGGGTAGAGGTCATGGCAAATGACCCATTTTTACTTTCCTACCTATACTAGGTAAGGAAACTATTGCAATCGGGTCAAATTTCCGAGATGCGCTTTTCGACTGATCTATACGGAGTCCCCTGAGTCCGAAAAACACATTTTTAGCCATTGGTCTGTCTGTCTGTGCCAAGATTTTCTCGGTAACTACTGAACCGATTTTCTTGATTTTTTTTTTTATTTTGTAGGGTTTTGACTACTGATTCCTGTGACAGAAATTCGATGCTCCATGCGCAATAGCTTGTGCGCAATAAATAAAAAACATGTTTTTCTATAGACTGTAGCGCAAAAATGGCTCAAACGGTTTTGATGAAACTTTCCTATAATGTTTTAATCATTGTTCTTTCAATTTTCGTATATAGACTAAATTCAGGAAAAAAAGTTATAAAGAAAAGAAAAATGTCATGGGGCCTAACTCCCTAAGTATATATTATACGGTAAAATTTGTAATTTCTATTTCTTCTACTTTTAACAGAAATTATTGTTTGACAATACTAAGCTATGCCAAAAAGTTTTTGATCAGCAATATTAGGAAGTATTGAAATTTTTACACTGATCTACCTTAAGCCGGTTTACTTTGCTTTAGTTTATCAAATAAATCGTACTCAAATCTTATGTTTGATCAATTTTCAGGAAAACGTATCTAGTTCAATTCTTTTTTGTTTCTTCATGAACATATGTAAAGATATAAAAACTTTTCTGAAATAGGCAGGAAAGTCGTGTGAGTGGACACACCAGAAATTTTTTTATCGATTTTGTCATCCAATTATCTTAGGTTAAAGTGGAAAGCAAATGGGAATGTATAAATAATAGTCAGAAGGGGGCTGCCAAGGAATTTATCAATAATCAGTACTGATTTGAGGTATGTGAGGAAGGGGCTTTTTGCTGAAATCTGTTATTGTTCCTTAAGTCCTGATAAGGAGTCTTATTGTGGCCTTTAGGTGCTTTTAGATAATTCGTTCTAAGCTATCAGAGATAAACTAAATTAATTAAATGTGGATAAAATTAATGTTATTATTATAATTGGTTACGGATTTAATCCATTTTGTAAATTTATGATATGATGAAGCTGTTCACGAAGTTTTAGCGAATGTTAATAATTTTATAAAAAGTGGTCTTTACCTTGGTCAATATGTTTTATCAACAGTTTTCCCTGACGAAGCAATATTTTGCTACAAATCGGTACTATAGATAAATAAATAGATAGATAGAAAGAAAGCTTTATTTCATATAAATTATTGAAGGAAGTTTATCGACTGTTCTACATATTATGGGTGATAAATATTCAAGACGCAATCATTATAAACTGAAATACCTTGAATACCTTCAGTGCTCGTACCACGCCCTGATGATGATCCACATGTTTGGGTTGAAACGTCGGCACCAATAAAAACTTTATAATGACTGCGTCCTGAATATTTATCACTCTTTATTTCATATAAATTTTACATATTCCTTTTTTTTTTTTTTTTTTTTTTATTAACACAACTTTTTTTTTTTGGCAATGGCATAGAACCATCTGCCTGGAGTTGCCCTAAAAATGCATACAATGAAAAGAATTGATAATAATAAAATAAATAAAAACAGTTAACATTAGAAATATTAAACAGCCTTTTCTTATTTAAAGCTAATTGATACGTATAATCTAAATAAACTTTAATTTGTCAAAAAATAAGAAAGAAATAATTTTTGTTTCATAACCTTAATCTGATACTTGCTTTTGTTTTCATACAACTAACTAATGTTATGAGTTGCATTGTTGAATTAAAAATCTGGTGTGTCCACTCACACGACTTTCCTACCTATTTCAGAAAAGTTTTTATATCTTTACATATGTTCATGAAGAAACAAAAAAAAAAAAAAATTAATTAGATTTCTTTTCCTGAAAATTTATCAAAGAAATGATTTGAGTACGATTTATTTGATAAACTAAAGCAATGTAAACCGGCTTAAGGTAGATCAGTGTAAAAATTTCAATACCCTCTAATATTGATGATCAGAAACTTTTTGTCAAACAATAATTTCTGTTAAAAATAGAGGAAATAGTGAAGCTTGTGCAGATTTTCTTACTTTTACTTAGTCATATTTTTTCTCTCATTCACCCCTTTCTTACACCAGGATATATATGAACCCGTAATGTTACATTGAAAATTGAATAGCTGTAACTTCGTTAATAGTTATCCAAAATGAACGACTTTTATATAGTTTTGTAGGGAATTTCATTACCTTTCAAAAGTTTTATTATTAATTTTACCGTATAATATACACTTAGCTAGTTAGCCTCCAAAACATTTTTCTTTTCTTTATAATTTTTTTTCCTGAATTTTCTCGGGAATTCACTTCATATATGAAAATTGAAAGGACAATTATTAGAACATTATAGGAAAGTTGCATCAAAATCGTTATAGCCGTTTTCGCGCTACAGTCTATAAGAAAACATGTTTTTTATTTATTGCGCGCAAGCTATTGCGCATGGAGCACCGAATTTCTGTAACAGGCATCAGTAGTCGAAACTCTACAAAATAAAAGATTGATGCAATAATATCGGTTTAGTAATTCCCGAGAAAATCTTGGCACAGACAGACCGACCAATGTCTAATAATGTGTTTTTCGAACTAGGGGAGCTCTGAAACGTCGAAAACCGCATATCGGAAATTTGTCCCGATCGCAAAACTTTTCTTACCTAGGTAGAAAAGTAAAAACATCCTATATTTATAAACATATATAAACTGCTCCAATCTTTGCCATTGAGTACGTCTATAAGTTCTTTGTGGCTTATGATTTTTTTCTTGAAATATTTGATTCTATATTCCTGTACAAACAACGAGTAGTGGTATACATCCTCTATTTCATTTGAGTTACAAAGTCTACACAATCTTTGTTGCTCACTCCTCATAACACTATTGTTTAGAAATAATAATGGTTCACACAATTTAAATTTACATTTTTTAATAAAGTGCATTTTATTTACATCTGATATGTAATGGCTTTCATCCAAGTCGCTGTTTAAATCCTTCTAAAGATCATGAAATCTAAACACTCTAGCTTTTTCACTCATATCCGCTTTAAAAATATTTTCTAATTTAGTTACAATATGGGAAATTATTTTATCACTAGTGTATTTTATTGTGATATTAATTCTATTACAGAGCTCAGTGTTTTGTTTGTGCCAAAATATTTTCTATTTTCTTATTTCTTTAGCCAAAATGTTCGGTACTCATTTTTTAGATAAGTTAAATATCTCAAAATTTGCACTAAAAACATACTATAATAGGTAATATATGAATAATAGACTCTTCGATTCGTGATAATTCTCTGAGGCATCTGAAAAGAAGATGGTATTTTGATCTCGTTATGTTGAGTTATTATATGAGTGCTACCAGCACGGTCGGATCTACGGGGGGGACTTTCGGGCTGAAGCTTCCCCCCCAAAATTGAAAAATATAACCATGTTTTATGGAAAATTTTTTTTAAAAATACCTCATAAAGTATTATTGTTCGTGTAATTACATTTAAAAGTACTTAAGGAATAACTTAAACACCATTTCATATAGGTAGTTAGTTTCTTTCTGTTTTTCCAAAGTAATTATCGTTATTTTTATGAAAAAAAAAAAGTTTCGGGCTGGAGTCCCCCCCCCCAAAATTAAATCCTGGATACGCTAGTGGCTACCAGTGGGTAGTTTCTCAACAAGTGTTTTCATGTGATTAAATTCCTGTGTACACATTTACTTGATGTACTTATATTGTTATACAGTTGTAAATATTATAAATAAATAGCTAAAAAAAAAAATCCTTATAAATATGTGTCCTCATTCTGTTATGATCTATAAGCAAATTAACGTAATAATGGATATATACTACAATTTATAATTTATTATGAATTTCTGACTCTAAATTTTATTTTTTTCTTAATCCATTTAATCTAGAATATACTTTTTTTTTTTTTATTTATTCTCTATTATATCTATTAGTTAACTTTCTAAATACATGTATATATATCTGAGGCTCAAAATTCCACATTTTTGTCCTTGATAATTATTGTAAAGGGATTTGTTCCAGAATAAATAAAAGATTATTATTATTATTAAATCAGTTTTATAACATGTATCACTCAGTGTAATTTATTTATTTTTTACTTATAACAGCTATATTATTTAGGTGTTTTTCAGGTACAGTAACTTACTCTGTGATGTGCGCTACCAGGCCCGAATACAATGATAAAATAAAAGCTGCTGTGTTGATGTCGCCAGTTGTCTATCAGCGGGCCAGCAACCAGACTTCACCTATTATGAGTACACTAGCTACGGTGAGAGACTTCGTAACCGCTGTAAGTATTTCTCATAGTAATTATACTTCATTCATTTTTTCAATTATTGTATTCATTCACACGTAAACTAGGAATATCGGCCTCATACACTAACCTCATCTTTTTCTTCGTAATTCATTATTTTGTCAGTGAATTAATAATTTAACAGCAAATAATTATTAATTATTCGGATGATCGATCCAACTAAGACCCTTGCAATAGGTATTTAAAGTTAAGCAACCTCGATCGTGTTAAGTAATTTGATGGGTGACCGTCCACCGGAGAAAGCTACCTGACATTCTATTCTCATCCGCATATGTTTGAGCTGTCAGCCTACTGGAAGCAATTCGCACAGACCGGGTATAGGAGTGGTGATCTTACCCTATGTTTAGCGACCCTTACACGATCATTCGTGAATGAACATCACAAGAATGGCAAAGATTGCTCCGAATCGCCTTGATCATGAAGACCCTTGCACCTTCAATACTTATCACTGCTAGCTCCATTTTAGATCAATTTTAAACAAAGAAACAGCATAGATAAGCTTATTTGGACATTGTCCTTTATAGTATTGGACATCAAGTGAAAAATAGAGATATAATAATTACTTCCTAGTGCCTGAAAATCGTTTAGACCAAAGTTAGAAAAATATAAGTCAACTACTTACAAAAATTTAGGAAAAGTATTGCGAAAATAATCAATTTGTTAAGAAAAATGGGAAAAATTAATGATAAATAAACACAACAGTTAAAGATTTTTTTTTCTTTAAGTAAATTGTAAAGTTTTCACTTTTTTTTTCTATTTATTGCCCCATTGATCATTTAAAGAAAAAATAGTTGAAAATGGTTTATAAAAATATATACTAGAAATAAAAAAAACTATTTACTTTTATGAAATTATTTACCAAAAATGAGGCCTAGGTAAACTATCTAGTAGTAAGGTTAGTCTCCTAGAAAATGGTTTTGACAAAAGTTAGTAAAATATAAGTCTACTACTTACAAAAATTAAGGAAAGGTATTGCGAAAATAATAAATTTGTTGAGAAAAACTGGAAAATAACTGGCAAATATACACAACAGTTAAAGATTAATTTTTTTTATTTAAGTAAATTGTGAAGTTTCCACTTTTTTTAAAAATTTGTTTCCCATTTGACTATTTAAAAGAAATAGTTGAAGATGGTTTATAAAATATAAACAAGAGATATGAAAACCTATTTAACTATTTACTTTTAATGAAAATCAGGAATTTATAATGGTTGTGAGGCCTAGGTAAACTAACCTATCTAGTAGTATGATTAGTCTCCTCTTCACTTCTTGTGAATGAACCTTTGATTTCCAGATGTTCAGAAATCCGCCAGACACCTCCATCAGTACCTCATTCACTACCTTACACGATAATTCGGAACATCATTAGTGCCTCAGAATGCAATTCTGAATGACCATATAGGGTCCCCTTATTGAAATGGAGCTGGATGAGAAATCTCTTTTAAGGAAGTAAACAAAGACCTGGGAAAAGTTATGCGGGATGCTATCCTTTCTCATGCCAATTGTTCAATTTAACACAACAAATCTGCCGATTGTCTCTATCATGACAGGTGTGAGCAAATATTTAAAGACAAAAGAAAAAGATATTTAGTTCACTGTATTAATCAGATAATCTTCATTATCATGTTTGTGAAATGAAAGCTTTTTATATAAATGATTGGACAGAGATAAAATACTGTATTAGAATTATAGTGACAATAATTATTAGAAGTTAAACACTTTTGCAAACTTCTCTATTTTTAATTAAGTTGACAAAAATTCCTGGACTTTTGTTTATTGTTTCTCTGTTATCTTCATTATTTATTAATATTATTTTTGCCTTATTATCTTAGTCTTAGAGGTGGTTATTCCATGCCAAGGATAAACTTCCATAAAATTCCTCATAAGGAACATTTTGATTTACAGAATGCCTTCGGGAGATCAGCAAACATCGTGGTTGGTGCAAGAAGTCCTGCAAGTGTCCAAGCTTTGAAAGTTCTCTGTGGAAGTAAGTCTCCCACCCAAGGACTTTGTCTCAGCATCTTTGGGTTATTCGTCGGTGAAAATAGAATCAACTTAAATCTAGTAAGTATTTAGGAGTGTAATATATACAATAAAAAGAATCGGACAGAAATTAAGAAATACTATCCATCCTAAGGCAATTTACATGCTTATCCAAGATTGTTAAGTTAATCGGTCACTGATAACCTTAATGTTTTCTTCCTAAAACTTTAAAACAATCAACCTATGTATGAAATGACCTATTTTTACTTAAAGTATGGTGGCACTGAAATTAATCTTCTTTTGAATAATTGGTTTTTAGGATGACTTTTCTACTTTCGTCCTCTATGCATCCAGTACGTCACTTCGGACTTTGATACACGCAGCACAAAACCGACTTGCAGGTAAAGACTTATATCCATATATTTAATATCTTTGATACTTTTAATAGTTTAATTTATCTTTTGAATATGTTGTTGAAAATGTTTTAACTGCTGTTGGAAAATAGTAGTGCTTGGCCCTGTTCACTAGCGGGTCTAGAATTTAATTTTTGGGGGGAGGCTTCAACCCAAAAGATTTTTTTTCGTATCTATATATAACAATCTTTTCCTGAACAACTCACCTATCTCATTCCATACTTCCGTAAAAAACTTTGGTGTTACATTCGATCAAACCCTCTCCTGGAAACCACACATCTCCCAAATTTCCCGTCGTACTATCTCTACCCTAAAACAGTTTAACCATCTCCGCTATCTCCTTCCATATAAATCCCGTCAACTCCTGGTTTTGCTCCCTTGTGTTCCCCCACTTTGACTATGGCTGTCTGGTGTACGGCGGACACTCGGGAGAATTCGAGACCAAACTTAAACGCCTAATGAACTGCGCAATAAGTTTTGTTTTCGGAATCTCAAGAGATACGCATATAACCCAGTATTACACCAAGTTGAAGTGGCTCTATCCATCCAACCGCCGTCTGTACTTCCTTGCCACCTTTCTATACCAAGTCATCAGAACTCAGCGGCCTTCCTATATTTTTCACAACCTACAATTCAAATATTCCATTCAATCCCGTCTCACTAGATCTCGTACCTCCGACCTCTATCCACCTACCGAACTGCAGCGTTTAACAAATCCTTTATAATTCAAGCCGTCTCCTTCTGGAATACCAATCCTCCCAATATCCGACATGTACAATCAGTTTCCTCATTTAAATCTCTCCTTTTTAACCACCTACTCCTTTCCCAACCCGATTGATCATGAAATGTAGATAAGAGAACTTTTAAAGTTCCCCCAGAAATGATTTTCTTTACTTATGCTATTTTATTTTCCCACGTTTGTATTATACATATCAGAATGTTTTTAGTGTAATAGTTCTATTTTTTGTTTTATTCTTTTTTCAAAATCTTAATCTTAATAATAAATGTAAATAATTAATTTTATGTATGGCCACACAGGCATTTATTCTGTATCTGTAATTTGTCCTAAAGGGACAACAGTCCCAGGATAATAAAAAAATATTTTCATTTCAACAATAACTACTTTGAAAAAAAAAAAATAGGAAGAAACTAAATACATATATGAAATGATATTTAAGTGTTTATTGAAGTCCTATTAAATGTAGTTACGCCAACAATAATAATTTTATATTTTTGAATGAATCCAAATAATTAAACAAATATAACTTAATTTTATTTTAGACTATTATTTTTGCTCAAATTTTTTTACACGATCGATATGTTTACAAAGTTTATATACAATTTCAATTTTTGGGGGGGACTAGAGCTCCGCGAACCCCTAGTAGTCGGCGCCTACGCTAATGTTTTTTTTTTGTTAGTTCTCTTGGCAAACATATTTAGTAATTGAGAGGAAAGTGAAGGTTATAATTATAAAAGTTCAACACTCAACAACAACTATTCTCTTTGATTGTGAAATGTGGTCGTTTGGTGTAAGGTTCTTTTGTAAGATGCGTTTTGCTCATCAAGGCTACGATGACTTCGATCGATCGTACAGTCCTGGAAAATGACAAAATACTCGAAAATATTAGCAAAGTATGTAAGTAAATATTCATTTTCTGAATAATCAAATAAATATGGATTGAAAGTAAACCTAATATAAATATCTACAATAAAATGAGAAATTATAACAGTTGTAAGGAAGTTATAATGAGGTTACATCCAGCAGATCTATGGACCCCTAAAGTTGATGGACCCACTGAACCAACCTTGTTTTAATTGATGAATAAAGGTATAGCCTTAGGAGCTTCATGAAGAATTTTCTATGCCTACCAATGAACTCAGCGTTGAGATTAAGAACTTGTCCATTCTTCGATTAAATCACTGAGAGATGTAACCTCAGAATGACCTCAATATTGTTATTTCTCATTTCCTTCGGTTTTCTATTTATATATAATTGAAACTGGAATATTTACTTATCATATATTATTATTATGTGAAATTGTTCACTCAAGTTAGCAAAACAGTTTTGTTCCACACTCCTACATTATTATTTTTTGATCCATAATTCTTTGTTATTTATAATAATTATTATACATATTATCTTTTTGTATTACAGATCAGTTTCAACAGTTCGATTTTGGTCCAAAGGAAAATTTAATGAGATATAATTCACTGAAGCCACCGAAATATCTTTTGGAATTGGTGACTACACCAACAGCTCTCTTCTGGAGTCTTAATGATCCTACGTTAAATGAACAAGTGGGTTTAAATCATTCTTTTATTAAAATAAATCCCCGTCTAATCACCTTCAACATTTATCGTAAACCTATGACTTCCTGTCCTACACTATCCATTACTAATACTTGTTGTTAACCTTGTTGAACAAAACTGATGACCTAGGACAAACGTCTAATTTGGAATCCTCATACCAGACTGAAACGATTAGAAATTACTCCGCGTTTTTGACTACTTTAGCACTTACTATACGAGCGCTCTAAGCTTCCAATTATTTAAAAAGACTCATATACATGACTATAATAAGGCCTATTTGAACAGACAGAGTTGAGGTTTGGGACTACATAATACCATCAAATTCCTCTCATATTCAAACCTTACAATCCAAAATCCTTTGAAAAGTCCTCCCCTTCCTCGTCTTATGGGGCTATATGGGGTTTTCTCGGGCCAGGGGCTGTGGGCAGGGATTTAAAAGACCCTCTGCATCGGGACGCAAACTCGTAATGATTTTAAATCCATTGTCTCATATATTAGGGTGTCGGGCAACGGCAGTGCTGTGCACATATGTTAGCCCGCTCAGCCACCTTACCCACCCAAAATGCTCCTTACTTTGTTACAATTAAAATAATTCATAATGACCTTAATATTCCATATGTTTCCGATTTGGCTCATTCCAGATTTTTTCTTTTTTTCTTGTTCTCCCCTTCCTCCCCTTTTAGGCTATATGGGTTTTTTTCTGGACCAGATGGTGAGAGCGGGAAATTAATGCCTGAGTTAAAAGCAGGGTTTGAAATTGATAACTATTTTTTACCCAAAATCATGCAGTAATTATTATATTTGATTTTTAATTTTAAAATCATGCCTGATTTATAAATAAAAATTTAAATTGATCTTTGATGTTTATTTATTCGATTAAAAATAATGATCACTCACTGAGTGATATGGTTTTACAATAATAATAATAATAATGATTAAATTGTTATAAAAAATTCTCCATCCTAATCCCCTCATTTCTAACCTTGTTTCCTCTTCGTTCCCTGACAATCTCTCCCCTCCTTGCCTTCTTGAGGTGTGATGATCTAGTAATTATTATATGAATTTATTACTAATTTTTTTTCAGTCAGTGGCAAGATTTGCATCTGAGATACCAAATGTCATTACTAACAGTGTAGTGGATGACCCAAAGTTCTCCCATGCCGATATGATTATAGGGGACAATGCAAATGTCATTCTTTACCCCCGGATAATTGAAATCCTCGACTCCTTCTCTCTGGACGGAGGTAATGCTGATCAATTTGTTATTGATGAAAGAGTAGGAGGACGAATGTCATCACCAACAATAGTTACATAGTTAATTTTTTACAATAAAAAACATTAATATTATGTATATATTTTTTTTGTTATATCTTGATATAACTATTAAATTTAACCACTAAGCAATAAATGTTTTTACACCACATTACTTTAACTACAAGTTTTATTTCCTTTATATGAGCCTTTCAGTTGACAGAATGACTAACTCCAATTTCAACATTTCAAAGTACTATGTTCGAATCCGGCTGGAAGCAGGGTCGGTAGATCCTCCCAAGGCACATCTAGCCTCTATAAAGTGGGTACTATTAATTATGTAAGGGGTAAACCTGGTGGTTGAGTGTGATCTCGGTCAAATCACCTCCTTGCATAACCGTTGACCAGGAAAAAATACTTCTTTACATAGTACTTGAAATGGTACTGGTTTTTTTTTTCTTGTTTTTTTATTTGTATACTAAACAATTTTTTTAAATTGATTATTACAACTATTATTTTTTAGAATATCTGAAAACGACATTAAAGCCGAGCCATAATAATTTAGAGGAAATAAAACATTAAATAAGGAAGTTAAAAAGATTTTTTTATTAATGACATAAAATCTAAGGTCTTTTTGTAAAACATTAATCATTTATTGATTAAATTTAATAAATATAGTAATATTTACAAAAGTATTGACTGCAACAAGGCTTTCCAATTATAAAAGACTTATAAAGATTAAAAATTTGATATTGTATTTATTACTTTAAATATTATTGTTAAAAAAAAATTAAATAAAAAGGAATTTTTATTATTTTAGTATCTAAAAAGTATACCTTATCAGATCGCATTAAAACAAATATCTGCGTACAAAGCAGGACTTTATGGATTCAATTACTATCATTTGTAGAGGAAAATATGGTAATATAGAATCCCACTTTGTTTTTGACTTCCCAATATTTAATAAAAAAATGAAATCAAAAGAATTTAAAGTACAAGTTTGTTCAAAAGAAATAAATCATAAATGTATTACAAATTATATACAATAAATTAGTTGTCAAAAAAAATCATAGCGTACACGAGCGGCGATCTGGAGCACAACTAAATGTGTACAAAAAGAGATTAATGTAGATAATAACCATCCCTCTACATTATGCATACCGCCTCTCTCCACCTTCAGGCACAGCTCAGAGTTCTCTGCTCTATAGGCAGGTTGCATCTGTCAGAATGAACCGTTTCTGTTGATTCATTTAATCTCAAATCTTTGTTTTTATTCCTCTAAATTCCTTAGTTGAATTCCTTGAAATGAAAAACTATAAATGTTTCTTTGAAGTTTATTGTCTGTATATAGAAGGCTCAACAAAATTCATTGACATTTTAGCATTCAATGCGGTGGAAAAAGGAGGCACTCATAGTGGATCCCAAGGTCAGGTTTGAAAGAAACAATCAGGATCAAGACTTCAAGGTACAGGCAGAGAAAGAGAAAATTTATATGAAATGCATACCTTACCTGAAGGAAAAGTATAGAGATATAGGCGAGAGAGAATTCTCAGTTGGGCTATGATTTGGAAGCAGGGGAAGCATCTCTCTCACTATAAGCAGTTTTTTGCAGAGGCTCATTGTTGGAAGGGAGCAGATGCAGACCATGGCAGAATCTATTATTTTAGACTCATCTGGGATCCTGCATCACCAGATATATTGATCTTGGCCTTCGCTTACTTGATTCTAAAAGCTGTTCTCGGCATATCTGTTATGTATTCCAATGGTCTAACCTTACTTTCTCTTATATATTTTTTATAATGTTATCCATTGATTGATGAGTATGCTGTGTCATTTAGCAACTCAACACAGTTGAGCAGCCGTGCAATGTTTCTTGTACTTCTCTCTAGTATAAAGTGATTTTATTATTATTTTTTAAAGCTAACTAGACAAAAACTAGAATACTCAACGCATTACATACATTGACGATGAACATTAAAAATGCTTTAAGAGAAAGTGATCCAACTCCTAGCAATCAGTCTTGATATCAAAAGAGCATTTTACAATGCCTGTTGGCCTGCAATTTTATATAATCTTAAAAGCTATAACTGTCCTCAGAATTTATATTTTTTAATTAAAACTTTTCTCAAAAATAAGCAATCAATCTATAAAATGAATACTTTTTCCTATACAAAAACTCTTTCAATAGGGACACCTCAAGGATCATGTGTGTCTCTTATCCTCTGGAATATCCTTATAAATTTGACCGAGTCCTTTCATTCAGGTCTCCCATAATTATTGGTGTGCATTTGCATATATCGATCTCATGTTGGACAGAGTTTTTCATCTTTTTGTTATTTATGTTTATTTTAGTTTTGTTTATACTAACTATTACATTTGAATTGAATTTTGTTTTCAATTTGTTAATGTTAATGTTATTTGATAAAATGTTATAATTAAGGTGCATAATATATATTTGTATGGAATGAACCATAATAAACGGTCCTTTCAAAGGGTTACTTTGAAAGGAAAAAAAAATAAAGTGTAAGTGAATCACATGATCTTATGCACAAATAGAATTACCTCCTCTGCTTGAAGATACATTTCATTTTAATGCAGTTTGTTTAATATTAAGGGGATTCAGGATTTCAGTCTCTGTGAATGTTAAAAAAATATAAATATTTATTTTGAAACCACTGAGATGGAATATATTTTCTTAATAATTTTGGTTTATTATTTTCAATAATGAAACATTTTGATCGACCAAAAAATTAAAAAACATAACCCTCGGTCGGCGCATTTTCTCCGAAACTACTGGACCGATTTTTTTTAAATTTTGATATAAAATCAGAGGTCATCCGAGGATGATCCTCCTTCATCGACATTACTCTCTGCCTTTAACTTTCAAAATGGTGGCCGAAAAACCTGCGTTGCTACAGACCGTAGCTCCTAAACGAATGTACAGATTTCAATGAAACTTCGCTAAAGTCATTTTCTCGACGCCCTTTAAAGTTATCTATATAAAATACTTCAACGAAAAGAAGCTGGAGAAAAAGTTACGAGGGATGGTAAAATTAAATTCCGAATAACTCGAAAAGTTTTTACTTTTTTGTTGATATTGTATGTAGTGTTTTAAAAGTTTATGAAATTTCCTAAAAAAAAAATCGTTAAAATCGGACAATTAGGAGCAAAGATATGGTCTCTGGTTTTTTTTATGTGTTCTACTTTTAAATTTTAAATGTGTTACTGAAATAATGCTATTATTTTTAGCATATTACTAATGATTAAAGAATAACAGTTTAGTTCAATAATTGGAATCACCTTTTGTTTTTTTTTCTTTGTAACTCGGAAGGTAATATTACTGTAGATTTATAATTGTTTGGAGATAATAAACCATTGGGAAATCATTTGCAGCGTTTTTATATTTGAAACAGGCATTACCTATCTAATGCATTAAAATAAATAAAGAAATTTTATTCAAAGACATTTAATCTCCTAACAGTAATAATAATTTACATTTGTTTGGCACAAAACGGTAGTAAAAGAATAAAAAATTAAAAAAATTAATTAAATTGATTAATTTTATAACTAACCTAAAACGTAGAACAAAGCTTTGAGTGATCCAAAATTCTTTAATAATAATTTAATTAATATATGTCTATTAATCCGTTAGAAAAATAATTATTTACACTATATAAAATACAATAGTGCCGTTCCCTTTACTAGCTCTTAGTAACTATGGACTTTATTTAATGAAGAATCAAACACAAGAGATTTTTATGGAGAATCAACGACACTAATTTCCATCCTTAAATCTCTTTAAAAACTTTAATAAAAGCCATTTAAAAAATTGAGAGATTTAAAAACTCGGATTGTTTCAAAGTCAACAAATCGAGGCCAGATAAATTATGTTTTAAAAATGTCTACATGGTCTTTAAGATCCAGTATTCTAAAGGAACTATGGTGTCCTTTGTTTGAAAGCCACAAAATGCCCCTTTTTCCTGTTAAAATTCTTGCCAAATGTATGTTATGCGTTAAAGTTATACTGGTATCACATATATCTAGATTTTAAAAAATAATTAAATTATTGCTTTTTTATTATTAGTCTTCGAGGAACTAAAAATCTATTGAAAAGGTGGTGAATATCTGAATGATCCTTTGGGTACTTCAGATAACAGAAAGAAACTTTTTCGAAAAAGGTGCTTCGCGGGAGAAAATTTTCTAATAATAAATGATAGTTTATGAAATTATTTAAAACTTTTATTCTAAGGTTTTTTTTTTTTCTATTTCTCGTCAGTTTTCGATCTTACACGCCAAGGAAAATAAGTTCAGCTCATACTCAAATAATTACAACAAACTAAAATAGCTGTAATTGTACATCAATCTAAATATGTATACATAGAGCTATTAGCGGATCCAGGATTTAGTTTTTGGAAGATTTTTTTTCATATATATAACCCATAATTTCTTTGGAAAAACAGTTCTAACTACCTATATGAATTGGTATTTAAGTGATTCTTGAAGTCTTATTGAACGTAATTAAACGAGCAATAATAATTTAAGACATAATTTTTTATCATAAAACGTGGTTATATTTTATCATTTTGATAGGGGGGGGGAGGGGCTTCAGCCCGAAAGCCCCTCCCCGTAAATCCGCGTGTGCATAGAGCGCAGTTGTACAGTCCCTGCAACTTCTTTTAAATAGACTTTCGATTATGAATAGGTAAAACGATATGAAGGAATGTTTGATGAAAAATGTGAAGTAAAATGATTTTTTTCTCTCGAAAATTTCAACTTTTCGATTGATAATTAAAAAAATAAATAAAAACCTATAGAATATAAGTAATTTTATAAACTATCATTTACTATTAGAAAATTTTCCCCTGAGCTCAGTCAAATTAGATATGTTGCCTTGCAGTAGGTCGAGTAATTCAAATTTCTTTTTTATATTATTAGGAATGCAACGGCTATGAAAAATCAAAGTTTCCGCCTTAAAAGCCTTGTTGGTTTGCTAAAGTGTTCCAAAAACCATTGAAATTTCGAACTTTTTTTTGGTTTACGCTAAATATCTCCTTTTCTTCTTTCTATAATATTCTCTATTTTCGGCAATAAAAACCTCTAGATGTACAAACAATTGTTGATTTACATGTTAAGTTGACGTTTTGGGGAAAATTATTCCCATCTTCAAAACGTAAAATCTCATATTTTCATAGCAATTTATTGTTAAAGTCTGATGTGCTCCTTTGTCATGATTTGAAAATTATGTTATAAATAAAATAAAGTTATACTATCTGGAGGCTTCAACATTCACAGAAACAATAATTCTGTCTTAATAAATAAATCTAAATAATAAATATCTCATTTTTAAAGTGACATAGATAAAAATGGTTATATTCAATCTTAAATAGCTTAAAATTATATAAAATTTTTGTACATAACTTTTTTTCTTAACCCAACAGGAAGCGGACTATCGAGCTTTCATAATTTAGTCGTTTCGATTTCTTCATTATAGTACTCTTTCAGTTTTGAAAGGAAGAATTATGTAACTCCATATTGAACCTCGTTCAGAGAATTTTCTCTTTCTTTTCTTGAAGAGCCATCGACTGAAATGGTAGACTTTAGTCGGGTTCTGTTTTGAAAAGTATGTTACACGGTGGGCCAGACCCTCCTACTGTGCACTCTCCCTGTACTACCCAATAAATTGTATAGTGTTGTGTTCCTTCTAATTATTTATTAAATACAAGCCAATGCTCGCACACAAAAAAGTGGCCACACTGTCCCAAAATGGCGTTCAATCATAGCAGATTGGCGTCTTTGACTTGAGTTAGTTTTTCGGTCACTGAGTTTCAGCATTTGGCTTAATTTCGCCATAATTGGCCTTTTATTAAAGCTGGATAGTTAGAGAATAGTAAAGCATGAAAAATCATAAAAAATAATTGTCCTGGGTAATAAAAAACACCAGTATAGTCAAGTCGTTCAAACTAAAGATAATCAAGCATCTTATGCAAATAAACGGCCAAAAATAACAAAAAAACATCTGGAGAATACATTTCTCTTTCTAAAACACTGATTATGTTTTAAAATATTTAAAGCAGTTACTTAGAAAATACACTTAGAAAAGAGGCAACTGGCATGGCCATCTAGAGTCCTCTGTCACAGGGGTGTCCAGAAGGGGGTTTCATCGCCCAAATTGTGCAGTCTAAGTTTTTGAGGGGAGTTTATTTTGACGAGTTTTTGAATTTTTGAGAGGGGCAAATTTCGACAGGGTTATGAATTTTCGGACTAAGGAACAGGTGGAAGCATGGAACAGGACGCAGTAGGTGAAATCGTAAATGTTCAACGATTTTTCTAATTATACCTAACTCACTAGCGGATCCAGGATTTCATTTTGGGGGGGGAGGGCTTCAGTCCGAAAGCTTTTTTTTCATATATATAATGATAACTACTCTAAAAGAAAGAAAGATACTATTTACATATATGAAATGATATTTATGTCATTTTTGAATATTTTTAAAAATATTTTTTACCATAAAACATGATTACATTTTACCATTATGGGAGAGGGGGTTCAACCCGAAAGCCCCCCGTAGATCTGATTGTGCCTTAACTTGCTCTGTTTCTAAGAAAAGGTGAGCAATAAAATATCTTGGAAAGAGGGGGGAAAAGAGGTTCTTGCGCCATGGACCTTGGGAGGGATGGGCACCCCTTCATCAAGTACTCATAAATGTTGAAGTTATAGTATGCTATAATGATTGTATTAACAAACAAATATTAATACAATAATTATGGCGTATATACAAGCGTATGGCTCTGCTGCGTGTCACTAGGGCGTACCGGTCAGTATCTCATGAGGCGGTACAAGTCTTAGCCGGAAGTATTCCAATTGATCTTCAACTTCGTGAAGACTACTTTCGGCACGAAATGAAGAGAGATGGCTTGGTGGATCTACCGGCTAATCTCCGAGTGAGGATCAGTGAAGACCCAAGCAGATGGAAGAGGATTCTCCGGGAATGCACATTAGAAGAATGGAACCGGCGTTGGGTGACAACGCCAAAAGGATCAACCCTAAGGAAATACTTCCCCACCGTCGGTTCAAGAATGGAAACTACATGGCTCCTCCCGGACTATTGGGTCTCGCAATTCCTCACGGGGCATGGGGGATTCCGAGCAAAGCTTGTTCAACATGGTAAGCACATTGATCCCCTATGCCCAAGTTGTAGGGTACCGGAGACCGCCGAGCACGTCTTATTAGCCTGTACCGCCTATGAGACATTGAGGGCTAAGTTGCTGAGGGAGACTGGGCTCTATGTCTTATCAGAGCGCGATCTACCTCAGCTAGTGACCAGAGAGAACTACCCGCACTACAAGGCCTTTGTGTACGGGTGGAAAGATATCATTGGCCCAGCCCACTTCTATTTGGGTAGAAGAGAAGAAGCTCCACCACAGAGGATGGAAGAGCCAAGCTAAACAGAAAATCTTATTGTATCGATTGCAGTATTGGCTAGTTATGCACACACGTCTAGCTATCCAATACTGCAAACACTCGTATTGCCAAACTGGCAGGGCAGAGATTTAAATAAATAAATAAATAAATAAAAAATACAATAATTATTGTCAAATTTTTTTTCAAAGCTTTACCCATTTTGAAAACTCGATATCTCGCTTCCTGTTGGGATTAGAAAAAAATTTTATTTAATTTTAAGCTGTTTAAGATAAAATATAACCTTTTTTATCTGTCACTTTATAAATCAGATATTTAGCCTAAACTAAAAAAGTTCGAAATTTTAATGGTTTTTGGATCACTGCAGCGAACCATCAATGGCGGAAAGTTGGATTTTTTATAGTCACTGCATATCTAACAATAAAAAAAAGAAATTTTTTGCAAGCTAGACTTCCTTTTTTGTGCTATTTGCGAAGCACCGTTTTCGAAATATAAGCGGAAACCTGAAAATTATGGGGTTTCCTCTCCTCCTCCCTCTCCCCTGGCTCACCTTCTAGACTTCAGGAATTTTGCTGTTTCCGAAGTAATTGCGTACGTCCCTGCTCACGCACTCTACACCTACTTTTGGGTCATTCATTGAGTGGACTAATAGGTCTTGAGAGAGTAAAATAATGGATTAGTATAAGTTCAGAGAAAGCTGTGTCTGATTGTTTAACTATTAAATTGGAGGAATATTTTTTTTTTGTAATATTGTATCGCTTATACGTACTAACTTAAGATGTTTCGCCGATGTCGCTTGTACCTCGAAAACAGAAGGGAAGAGATATAGATAATATCGTGAGAGTTCTCACTATAATTATGAATTAATAATTTCTTATTTCACAGCAATAAGACGGTAAATACTAGACGAGATAACATTGAATAGAGATGAGCTTTAAGTATGAGAATAAATATTTTAAGTTCTATCGGGGTTCTCACAATTGTCGACATATTCTACAACTGACGGTAGAATGATGTTCTTGATAATCTTCCTCAACTTCTTCGCCGCTCTTCATGGATTGGAAGGCTCCAATGGAAACACTGTTAGATCTCCTCCTGTAATACCTCACGTGCCCAGTATAGTAAGTATCTACACTAAATATCATATGATAGTATATAGATACCGACTCTCAGGAGTGATGGATTTTAATGAATGAGGTACCAAACGGAAAAAAGTTTCATTGAGAATTGAGAATTTCCAATTTCGATCCTTAAATTCACCCTATAATTTAAATAAAAGTCATTGAAAAAAAGTGTAATGTTTCATAACTCCAACTTTACTATTGGGGTTGTTCATAAACGATTTACACGAAAATTTGGAAGAGGGGCTAGAAATCGCAGGAGTAAATATTAGATGTTTGTTGTATGCAGATAACGTTTCCCCCGTAAAATTACAACATATGATAAACCACTTGGAGAATTACTGTCGAATGTGGAACTTGCATATAAATTTGGCCAAGTCAAAAATAATAGTTTTTCGCAATGGAGGTAGACTATCCAAATATGAGAGGTGGAAGTCCCAAGGTTGGTCTTGGGACGACACTTTGCTGAAAGAGTAAGTCATGCGAAATTTGGCCTAAATTCTTCCTGGCAAAATTTCACAGCTAATAAAAATGCCCCCTATTTAAGTAAACTTGTGGTTTATAATCCGGTCTCTCGGACGGTGATTAGTTATGCTGGGCAGGTTTGGGGTTTCGAGCCATATGAATTTTAGAAAAATTTAAACGATACTTCGTAAAAAAATTACTTCGCCTCCCAAAGTATGCACCTAATTATATTTTGGCGCACGAAACCGGTCTCGCCTCGATATACTCCCACTTAAAATTAATTTTGACTATATTTTGAAAGTGCTGGAGATGCCGAGTTTTCGTTTGCCACATATTCTAGCGAAAGAGGTGATAACTAAGAAAGATTATTGGTACCAAAAGCGGTTAGAATTCGAGGATAGTTGTAAAACTAATCTTGATATTGCAAATGTCGCTGATCTGCGCGGAAAATTGACTTGTTAGACATAGGGTAGAGGACTTATAAATACAAAATACTCTAGAAAAATGTCTTCATTCAAATTTTTCTGTTTACGCAGGGCTACGTTCAGTGGGCACTGTTACACCCTATCTTAACGATAGTTTTGATATTGTGACTATTTTTCGATGTAGGACAGAGTTGCTCGATTTAAGCGTAAAACCATGGAATGTGAGGGACAACGATTGCTGTCCGGTATGTAACTCTCAAGAAAAAGAGGATACCATTCACTTCTTGGGGACTTGTCACATGTACAATGAAATAAGAGAGAAATGTTTTGGGCAGCGGACCTGTTCTGCAGAAGAATTATTTGGTTTATTAAAGGGTTCTAACTGGAAAGCCTTTAGCAATTATGTACAGCAGGCCACATTGCAAAGATCTCAATTGGTCAGATAGTAAACTATTGATACAATATCGTGTTTATTTATTGTAACGTTTGTTTTATTGTTATAATGTATTTGATGTATTGATGGATTATTATTATTGTTGAATTTAAATTTCTTATTTATTGGATTTGTGATGTATTAATGTTTGTTTTTTTGAAAACTCTGTCTAAACAAATGAGATAGTGAAAAAGAAAATTGCTAGATTGGATGTATAAAAACACAATAAGATATATTATTGCTCATTTATTTTAGTTATAAATGTGATGAATATTTATTATTAATTACACACTGACCTCGATAGACGGAATTTTCCATTGTCTATGTGTTGTTTCTTGTATATATATATATATATATATATATATATATTTTACTTTGTGTAATTTTTTAAAAAGTTTAATAAACACGTTTTCATTCATTCATTGAACTCCGACATTTTGAGATAAATCCTAGTCTTTTCCGAAATAATCTACTGCCGCGTTGCCATGGGATTCTTATCACATTTGGTTTTGGTTATTTTCAGTGTAGCCGTTTGTACGAGGATCCTCGTATTTGTACGAGGTTATGACGTAATGTACGAGGTACGAGGATAGATCAGCCTCGTACCTCGTACATAAGTTTTGCTGACGTGTGCAATGCAAGGTTATATTTTTATGAATGAAGTTTAGAATTGTTTTACGGTTATTTTGAATGTATTATTATTTATATTGATATGGAATACTGAACTTCTGTTGCATTCTAGACAAATAAATTGCAATTATACCTTCTTTAATTAGAGTATGATTATTATTGCCTTCATAAAACCATGATTGTATATATATGTTTTCTTTTTAATTTTCTAGAAAATAAAATAAAAATAAAAATTTTTTAGATTTTATTCAGTATAAAATAAAATATAAGAAACCATATCCATTATTTCCTTCATAAAACTTTTTTTATAAATATATATTTTTTAAAATGTGTTGTAATAGAAAATTAAACAGAACTTTTAACCGTCATTTTTATAGAGCATAAAATAAAATACGAGAAAGTATATCCATTATTTCCTTCGTAATTATTATTTCCTTCATAAAACTGCAATTGTAAATATATTCTAGATAAATTAATTTTTTTTTTAAATTATTAGCGTAATATAAAAAAAAAATTATTTTCGATTTTTAATCGAGTAAAGTAAGTAATTGAAAAATTAACTAGTATTTCTAGTATTCATAATGAACCCATCTTAAATAATGAAAAAAAAAAAGTATTTTTTCATTGGTCGACATTTATTTTGTGCGAGACCTAATTGTAAGCTAAATACTGAAACAATCACAATCTATTATTTTTTAATATTATAATAGATATCTCTAAAATCATTAATGCCCCAATAATTAATTTTTATTGGCCTTCCAGAACCACTAACATCCTTTCATAAAAGTTGTTGTTTTGTTTTTAGAAAAAAGAAAAAAAATTACAGTGGCTTAATAATATTATTAAGCCACTGTAGGGTTATTTGTTGTGGTCTTTGACAAACTAAAAATCTACTGAAATGGTGAACGGAGCTTTTTTAAGTTCCTAGGGAATTCGGGTTATATATTTTTAAAAGATCACTACCTTCCAGAGCTCTCTGTATCCAAAGTACACATTTCCAGCTATTAGTATGTCAATGTTAAGATTATCTCGCGAACAAAAGAACCGATTTTGTAGTTTCTTTTTATAAGTTTTTGACAATAGATTTCTGAAACAAACCGGGCGCTACCAGCGCAATAAGAGAAAATCATGTTTTTCATTGGCTGTAACATAAAATAGTTATAACCATTTTTATGAAACTTTCTTTATAAAATTTACAATTTAAAATCCTTTCAATTTTCGTACGTGTAGTTAATTCCCGAAAAAATCAGGTAAAAAGTTATAAAGAAAAGTTGTGATTAATTCACAAATACAACTTTTTTCGTCATAACTTTTTTCTTGCTTTATTTCGGAGAAATTTATAAAAATTAAAAGGATTTTAATTCGAAGAATAAGCAAATTTTAACAAAATCATATTTTTTAAACTCCTGCATGAATACTGAAAATATCTTATCTTCTATATTGACAATAACCACTAGCGGATCCAGGATTTAATTTTGGGGGGGGGGAGGGGGCTTCAGCCCGAAAGATTTGTTTTCATTTACATAACGATAATTAACTTGAAAAAAAAAAGAAGAAAGAAATGAACTACCTATATTAACTGATGTTAAGTCCTATTAAATGTAATTACACGAACAATAATACTATAAGAGATATATTTTTACATTTTTTTCTATAAAACATGGTTATATTTTACCGTTTTTTGGGGGGGAGGGGGAGGCTTCAGCCCAAAAGTCCTCCACCCCCGTAAATCCGCCTGTGACACTAACGGTTCCAGGATTTAATTTTGGAGGGGCCTCAGCCCAGAAATTTTTTATTTATTACTGTAATTACTTTCGAAGAAAAAGAAAGAAACTAAGTACCTATATGAAATGGTGTTTAAGTGATTCTTGAAATCCTATTAAATGTATTTAGATTAACAATAATACTTTAGAGATAATTTTTCTCATAAAACATGATTATATTTAACATTTTTTTTTTGGGAGGGAGGCTTCAGCCCAAAAGTACTCTCCCTCGGTAGATTCACCTGTGCTTATTGAGCTAGTAAATTTGTTATATTGAAAGTCAGTATCTATTCATAAAACTTAAACTTTAAAGAAGCCATTAAAAATTTCCTCTAACTTAACAACTGAGAGCTACATTTACAAAGAAGGAAGGTTGTATGAATTACAGGTGGAGGAAGTAATAAAATTTGAAAGTAGCAAAAATGAGAAATTACCAGATATTTATTTACTCAGAGATTTTCCAGTCCATATTGTTTCATCATTTTGAAGCTCATAGCAAGTCCTGATTTTCATAAAAGTTTTCCTCAATTATTTACAATGACCAACTGTAAATAAATATTCATGAAGTTGAGTTTCAGGAAATAAAAACTCAAGTATTTGTTTTTCATTCGTTAAAATGGATAAAAAATTCATTTTGTTTTTCTCATTTTTAAATTATATAACCTACTATGTTAATTTAATATCACTGAAATGACAATTCTGTGAATATTTTAACATCCTGGTTGACAATTTTAATACAATGGTTTCCTGGATAATGTCTCTTTGTGAATAGTTCTTTTTTTTTGTATGATAAATCTTGAATATATAATAATATTCATTAAATGTTACAAATAAACTAATTTATATTCTCTGGATTGTTTTTTAAAAGACAAGAAAGCTTCAACAAATTTTCTTCATATTTATTTTTGAAATTACCTAATTAAATGTACCACTAACAATCCATGAAAATTTGAGGAATTACTGTTACTAGACCAACGGCAATGCATGGAGGTGATTGGGCCGAGATCATGCTCAATGGCCAGGTTTTCCCCCATAATTAATTATTTAATTAAGAGTACCGACTTTGTAGAGTCTGGGTGTGACCCAAGAGGATCTCCTTGCCCCTGGGTTGATCTACAACTATTGAAAAATTACTAATCATCAGCCGGATTCAAATCAGAAATCTTGAGCTCTGGAAGTCAGTGCTAAAAAAAAAAAAAGAATAACAAAAAAAAAAATAGTCAAGTAAGTTAAGATGTCAATGTCCAAAACATACAATAAAGTTAGAATTGGTTCTTATTTATTTGAGAAATTTGAGGATGGTTCGGGCTTAAAACAAGGTGAATCCCTTTCACCTGTCCTATTTAATTTGGCATTAGAACATGCCATTAGAGAGGTGATAAAAAGGTTTGAATATGGGAGGAACAATATCTGTGCTTGTGTGTTCTGATGATTTGGTACTATTAAGACACAGAAATAATAAAACTAAATACAACAATATTTATTACAGCTAACAACTTTGTATAAAAGCTGGTAAAGAAACTTAGACTCGAAACAAATACAGACATGACAAAATGTGTTTGAACAGGTAAAGAAGTTTAGATATTTAGGGTCTACTAGAAAAAAAATAACTAGAAAAAATAAAATCGAAGAGGAAGTTAAGGCTAGGTTTTTCTTAAATTACTCAGGATCAGCTTGCAGCAAGAGGCGGCTACAAAGCAACAAATTACGAAATCATTACAGAGGATGGATACAGCATTTGGCTCCACAGGATTGGCAAGAACTCTGGTTCTCCTGTTCTTATACAGCATGGAGTCATGGTGGCGGCAGACTCCTGGATAATCAGAGGACGTAACAAGAAGGACCTAGGTAATATAATCATATTTTCAGATAACTTGCATCACTTGAAATATTGATGTAAGAAACTATACTCCTACAAACAAAAGTTTATACTCATTTATATGTTGTGAAAAGAAACACAAAAATAAAATCTTTCATTAAATAAATTAATAGAAAAAGTTGATACGTATACAAGATAGACCCAAAGCAAAAGAAATTATTTAAAGAAGTAAAAGTAAATCTTTGAAGCTACAAAAAAGTTATTATAAAGTTATTAAAAAGTTATTAAATGGTCTGATTTTTCACAGAAAAGAGAAAATTAAAGACTTGTATTTTTTTAAATAAGTCTTTTTGTTTGATAATAAGCAATAAATAAAAAGATGTTTCATATAGCTAATTAAACATTGCTTCATAATAAACTAGAAAAAATTTGCAAATGCAAGTAGGGTTTGTATTTGTTAAAACTATTTGAAGAAAACTTTTATGTGAATAAATAATGCATTTTTTTTTTTTTTTAACATCCTACAACTGGTCTTAAAATACTACTATTTTGTATTTCCTTTTTTATGAAGCTTTAAGCCCATATTAACTAAGTTGAGATTTGTTATTGCGTAAGTTGAGATTCACCCCTAGTTGTGTAAAAAAGTGATGTGATTTGATATATTGATATTTGATCTGTCATGTCAGAGAGATTGAGTTTTCAGCCAAAATACCTACAATAAATTATTGTACAAAGCTTTAATTTCTTTTTTCCCTGCAATTAATTGTTTTCGGATATATTATAATAAATCTATTATTATTATTATTATTAATTACACCTTTCTTATGAAAAAAATATAGTGAAATTTTGTTTATCTACTTCCTTCTAATATATCATATATTTTAGTTTAAAATATAATTTACAATGGTAATTATATGCTCTAATGGTAGTAAGGCTATTTTCAAGCAGAGGTATTTAAATCAATCTACATTAACACTAAACATACCATAACGGGTCAAATGACCCATTTTGAACTTTTCCATTGAAAATGCACGTATAATTTTATTGCGTTTGCCCATTTGACTTCATGACTTTTTCTAAGTAATTAATGTACAGTTATAAAAATATTTTTATTTTGTTTTGTTTTGCTTATTCTTGTTGTATACCGATATCTACCACAACAGGTCATTTGACCCGGAGAGAATTTTTTTGTTTTATGAGATTATCTAGTCATATTTGTAGTCAGTAAGTTGCACATTCTTCCAAAGACTGTTGCGTAAAGTAGTTCAACGAAAATAGCTCAGAATAATTTCAAGAAAATATCAAATTTTAGAATGAAAATAGCTTTTTAGTCTTTAAGAAAAAGTGGCAAAAATTGAAAGTCTTGGTAAGTACCTAGCTTATATTTTATTTTGATAGCTATAGTAATACAGATCATTTTTTACCCAGTATAAGAATAAGATTACTCACAAGTTCGGAAGAAAGTGAAGTAGAAATAAATAAAGAAAATATTGCGAATGATGGATCTGTTTGGCAACAAATGCAAGTAGGTGGCACACCTGGAAGAGCACCACTGCGATGAACTATGAATTAAAAGTTTTTATTTTTTGCTTTTGTAATAGAAATGCTCAACATACTATTTTGTTTAATCATAATAAATTTAATTTATATTTTTATTTCCTTCCTAACATCCATATTTCATACATTCAAGCATGAAACATAAAGTCGGGTCATTTGACCCGCTATGGTAGAAATAGGTATATATTAAGTCTTGGTATGATTAGTGTTAATGACCAAAACTAAGATAACTTTAAAAGTAATGAATACTGTTTTTTTTTAACAAATGTGAATTATTTAATGAGATAACGTTAAATTTCGATTATAGCTTTCATGTTGCTGGATAACGGCTACGATGTCTGGCTTTCCAATCAAAGAGGAACGTTTTTCAATGAATATAGTATCAAGTATAATAGAACAGACCCTAGATTTTGGGATTTCAGGTCAGTTATCGCTTTTTTTGCACCACAACTACTTAAATAATAAACACAAAGTGAATATATTTTTCTTTTTATTATGTTTTAGCTTCCATGAATCTGGAATCTATGATTTACCTGCAGCCATTGATAAGATATTGGAGGTACGTAAGGTGGAGAAAATCTTCTACATTGGACATTCCCTTGGTAGTAATTCAAATATTATAGTTTCTTTTCTAATATACATTTTTGTGAAGAGAAAAGATGTTGTGATTGCCCTTAGCCATTTTCTCAGAGATTGCAAATTCCGAAATGATTAGTGCCGGCCATAGAAATTTGGCATCTCTGGACTAAGATCTCATTTCCCCCTAAAAAATTAAATTAATTTCTTAAACTGCTTTATAGTAAGTACTATTTGAATTTCATTTCATTCAATATGTCTCTAATTCGTTTAATTCGTTGTTTTATTAATAAGCTAAAATCAATTATTCTTGTATGCTTTGTAACTTTATTTTTTTCATTTCTATCAAGTGATGGACGCCATTCTCCAAGTCAATTGCCTGGTTCTAAGGTCAGCACTTCATATCACTCAATTTTCAAATTACTAATTGCAATTATTATCAACCCTTAAAAAAAAATTCAGCTTTTTACAATAATTGTTATCTAAATGAGGCTTTAAAGCAATTACTGACAGATCTTTTTAGAACGACTTTAATTATAATTACATCCCTACTCACAGCTCCTCTTGAAAATTATCAATGATCAGTAAGCATGTGCTCATAATTGTATTTTATTCATAATTTTTTGTTATTGTCATGATAGACTTAAATTATCAACAGTGAAAAATTATAAATTGTCTAATTTTTTTTTTTTTTCAGGGACTATAACATTCGCTGTGATGGGAACTATGAAACCTGAGTACAACAATAAAGTGGAAGCTGCTATGTTCATGTCTCCTGTAGTTTACTTGAAAGCAGTAAATAAGTTGCCCCCATTAATAGCGAGGATAGCACCAATCAGAAACATAATATATGTAATATTTATTGTTATCATTTTAACATAGGTTATGTTTTAAACTAACATAAGAACATTCCACATAAATAACTTGAAATTATAATATCGACTGTACATAAAGTACACAACTGTATTAAACAAATCAACTCAAATTTTAGGATTTACCATTGACTTGAACCTAGCACAAGAAAATCATTCAATGTTGTGTAGGAAGCTTTTGAGGCACTGGAAAAATCAATGGTATGCTGGAGTTTAAGGATAAATTTTGATTAAACCTGATACATGAGTACCCAACAACCAGAGGAAAATGCAGAAAGATACGTTACAATTGGTCCATACCGAATTGAAAGTCATTTATCTACTTAGGATCACAAATCAACTACAAAAATAATATGCAAGAAGAAGTAGAGTGACTCATTCTTTCTGTGAATTGTACATATTTTGCGCTCCAAAAACATATTAAGCAGCATGTTGTCCAAAGCCTCTACAACCCTATAAGACTCTTATTAGGCCTATACTTACATACAGTTCAGAATGTTGGGATGACTAAAGACCAAGAACAAGTCATTCTGAGATCAGAAAAGAAAGTGCTCTGCAGAATATATGGATGTATATGTGAGCATGGCTCCTGAAGAAGACAAACAAATGCTGACTTTAACGTGATATGTAAAGACGTCAATGTCATTAACTTTATCAAAATCACAGGACTCTGCTGGGCGGGTAATGTTATTAGAATGATGCAGGACGAAATCATGTTAAAAATTTTGTTGGAGCGAGTGTATGGTACAAGGGGAGAAGGATGTCCCCAGCTTCATTGGGAGGATTGTGTGGCTACAGACTCTAGAAAACTGTTCTTGGTTTAAGGAATCGGGAGACAGTGGCACGTAATAGAGAAGACTGCCAGTGCTTGTTGGAGCAGGCTTTGACTCATCAAGTGGGCAGTGATGCCAGATAAGAAGATGAAGTATACATAGTAGTATCCAATAGTTTCAGTATTTATATACAAATAGACATTTCTAAAACTCAGCTGATATAAATAGATACTAACATATTCATAACCAAACATGGCATGACCCCACACCGAGTAGGCCAGACAAGAGTGAGCAGCTGGGGTTGGAATCCTTGTTTTATTTTTTAACTTATAAGTTTTTATTAAAATTAAATACAGCTGACATTACATTTGTTTTATAACAGTTATGCAATATCTTTATATAATATTTTTGTTATATACTTTACAAAAGGCTTCGGTTGGATTTTAGTGGCGAACATAAAATTTGACAGGAGTCTGGGTAAAGTATCCGTAGGGTTAATAAGTAGTTCCTCTCCATTCACTGTCACCAAGTCTTGTAAATAGACTTCAATGCCATTATACAGCCTTGAAAACTCTGCATTTTTCCTTCTTCTCTGGATGTCTGTCTCTCATAATATATTAAAAATTCTCCTTAATACTTTTATATAAGTGAAGAAGAATGGAGAGACAACATTTCATCCATAGATATCCCCTCTAAAGTTGTAAAGATTTTGAGTTTAGTCTATCTCTAGCATTTCTGTCAAAATTATCCCACTACTTATCACAAAACTACAATATATATTTATGGAGATGATCTTTTCACCGCTTCAAAAGAAAATAAGGATCACACGTTTCAATATGTAACATTATTTCTAATTACCTTATAACTACCCCTAATTACCCACATCCTTTTCTTCATTTTTTCTCCTGAATTTTTTAAAAACCTTTCTTTTATCCGATCCTTCCTAACATCTTGTGACAATAATGGTCTCTTGACACCTTTTGAGGAAACAGATCTGAAGAAGGCCTCAAACTTAGGCTGAAACGTTGGCACAAAGAAAATAAAAATAAATATAATTTAATTATATTTGTTTTAAATTTTCACAGACTGAAAACTACACCGGCTTCTTTTCAATTATATATATTTAATTTTTTTTTTTCAGACTGCCTTAACCAATTCAGGTAACTTTGATTTAGATCCGAGGAATACAGAGGTGCCAGGAACATTGAAAATGCTTTGTGGACCTCAAGCAGTCACACACCCCTTATGTTTAGGCATCTTTGGATTTTTTGCTGGAGAAAATCCCAGAAACATGAATCCAGTAATTATTAATTATTTTTTCAATAATTTATATAAATAATTTTTTAATGTCTGAATAAAATGCCCAATATTTATTATGAATGAAAGCATTCATTAATTAAATTCGTCCTGATTGGGTCCATCAGAATAGCTGGAAATCATGACAGAATTCCTCTTTAATTTCAATTATTCATTTCTGGTAGCCATTTGTGTCAGAAGAAGGTTTTTATTTAAAAACAAACTAATGTTAATTTAAATTTTATTTAATTTTCTTCCTGTTCTAGTTTGAATACATGAAAACAATTAACTTAATAAACAAACATAGAATTTTCTTCAAACACAAAATTATTTATAAAATGTATGGTTGATACTTATTTAATGCAATATTAGGAAAATAAAGAAATTAGCTTGTTATATTCATAATATTACAGTTGAATGAGGTTTATCTTCACTGATCTTGTAATTATTAATAAGTATTGAAATATGTTTAAAAATACCAAATTTAGGTGGACACAAATGTTTTATGTGTACATCAAATAATTGAAATGAGAAATAATTTTATTCTGGGTCTAAAGTCCCCTAAGAATAATAATAACATGGTACAAAACATTGGTCCTTTAGTCTGGTTTGACAAAATACAGAGAGGTCATTTGAATGTTAATTTCAATTACTATCGCAATTATACCTGAACAACAATAGTAAACACTTTAACACTAGTACATTTTATATGGTTTCCATGTACACAAAGAAAAAGTAAATAAATATATTAAATGAAACTAGCTAAAAGCAGTTGTAATTACAGAATCCAATAAACATATTACATAAGTATGGAAGTTTGAAAATGAAGTAGGCGATGGAATAAGAGTAGTTTGAAGGAATTTAAGGATGAGAATTGCCGTTCAGTGATGAGTGAAGAATTCCAGAAGGAAGTAGTACAAATGACGAAAGATTTGCTGAAGCATATATTTTGATAAGAAGAGATATATAAATCAATAGGTTGGGATCTGGTATTAAGAGAGTGGATAGAGGAACATAGAGTTAGGAGTTCCATGATATAGGAAGAATTTTTGATTATTAGGACCTGGTAAATGAAAACACCAAGAAGGAATCGCCATCGGAAAGTAGGATAAAGCCACTTCAACTCAATATACCAACGAGAAATATGACAACGCCTGGAAATTCCGAAGATGAATCTTATAAAACAGTTCATAAATCTTTTCAGTTTACTTCCAGTCTTTCAGGCAGCCCTCGATACACCAAGCAACCATAGTCAAAGTGGGTGAAAACAAGAGATGTTACAAGGAAATATCTGGTTTTTTGAGGAATTGAATCACGGAATCTTAGGAATTATTTAAGAACACTTGTGGATTTTCGGGTTATTTGGGAAATATGGTTATTCCAGGAAAGGTTCTGATCAAAGATAACTTCTAGATTTTTGACTGTTGGGAAAAAATGGATGGGGCGGTTATTGAGGTAGAGTAGAGGAGATTAAGGAACTAATGAGATGCCTGGAACCGATGAGAATAGCTTTAGTTTTATCTGTGCTCAGTTTTAACTTATTTGTTTCTACCCATCTGTTGATGCAGTCAATATCCTCTGGTAGCTTTTGGGTAGCCTAAAACATCTCAGAAGGGTGGAAAGATTGGTAAATTTGGAAATCAACAGCATATAGATTGTAACGGGTGGTTAGGAAGATAACTTAAACAAATCAATTATACAAATTAGTCAATATACAAAGAATCAAAGAGTGTAATTAATAACGATGCGATCAAATCTTAAATATTTATTTATTTTAAATTGTAAATTGTTTACTTTTATCTGCGAAGTTAACTATTGATACAAAAAATTTAAAGGTTATTTTTATAAAAATAGAAATTATAAAAGTTAAACTAGTTGTGGATTGATGGTTGACTGTAGTGAATAATTGGAGAGAATGATGGTTGTGGTGATCAGTAAAAATAAAAAAATAGTAAAAATAAATAATTATATTTATTTTTATATTTGCCAACGTTTCGGCCTGAAGTTCAGGCCTTCATCAGAGCTGGTCTTTCCAAAAAGTGTCTTTCCATGCTTCTTGGATTAAACAGCCCTGATGAAGGCCTGAACTTCGGGCCGAAACGTTGGCAAATATAAAAATCAATATAATTATTTATTTTTACTATTTTTTATTTTGACTGATCACCGCAACCATCCTCCTCTTCAATAAAAGTTAAACATTTGATTATTTTTCAAAGTATCCATTAAGGAATGTTTACTTGTTAATTTTAACTCGTTGGTCACAATGTGAAAAAAACTTACATAAACTGAGTATGAGTAATTTTTATCTACATGCGTGTAAAACTCATGTTTTACTTTATTTTAGTTCCATTATAATTGAATAAAGTTGACATAAATAGTTTTGGAACATTTGTGATTTCTTGATATGTTATCTCTGGATGGACTGTTGAAAAACCCAAGTTTTCCAATAAATCCTACCATCAGAAGTGCCATTTTGAGAAAAACTAGTACTTTTTTTTTCTTGTTTACTTTTAAATATCCGTATAGGAAAAATATATTCTTAATTTTTTTTTTCAATATTTTAAATTACTAACATTACTAAGTCAAAAATTGTCATAGAATTCATTATTTAGTTGCTACCAACCATATTTGCACCTGTTTACAAAAACGAGTTCTAAGAGTTTATTAAATATCCATCGAAAATGTCTTGCTATTTTTCAGGAAGACTGGTCTAATTTTCTTCTACATGTATCAGGTACTTCATTGAAGAATTTGGTTCATGAACTCCAACTTTCTACGTCAGGTAAAAAAAAATTAAAAGTTCTGTACTAGGTTTGATTTATTTAATATATTAGCATACTCCAAGTAAATGTATACACTTTGGTTTTCACAAGTGGATGCTTGTCCTCCTGTAACTCCCTTTAGATTTAAATTTCATCCCAGTGATGGCATTAGACATTCGGCACCCCTGGGCAATGACGTCATCTCTCACCTCTAAAAAAATTAAATTTATATCTTAAGCTATTTTATTGTATACTAGTAGGCCCGTGCGAAAAAATCGCACAACATATTGTTATCAAATGCCAAATTAATAAGAAAATAAAATAATACAATGTATCAAAAGGTAAAGACATCAAATGTTACTTTATCGATAAATATAATCGACAAATGAAACAAAAATTAATTTAAATCTTCATTTTTGTTTGGAACCAACATGTTTACAAATTTCAGTAAGCTGTATCTTTGCTAAAAATTGTCCGATTTCGATGATTTTTTTTCCTTTTGTAGGGAATTAGTAATCTTTTATATAATCATGGGCATAACCAAGGAAAAGTGTGTTATTTTTTAGTTATTCGCAAATAAAGTTTGTTTTCTTTCATAACTTGTTTGCCTGAATTTTCTGGATGATTGGACTATTTTGCCCACCTGAAGGAGAAGGAAGCCTTCGAAATTGGTGGCTCAATCTTGAGATTTGGTGAAAAATTAACGATGATACGCCTTGCCGATCAAGAACACCATCGATAAATAATATAAACTCCTCCTCTCTCGATCATAGAGACCTCAAGTCGACGAAATGAGACATGTATTCAATGACAGTACTACAATTAATGTAAGGATGTGTGGATACTAACCCTTTGCCTTGCGTTATCTCGAAAATAGCACGTTTTTGGGCTTAAGAACGCAGGATCCGATAGTAGGAACTATCCGGGTCTTGCTGTACGCATCAAAATCTTCAAGATCCAATTTGTTCCGTATCGATCTACAGACCTACCACCGCTCCAGTATTGAAGCCTAGCAAAATGTTTGTATCGACTTTATTTATTTTAGAAAGAAAAACAAAAGTGGAGAATACGATTCGCTAACCCCCCGTGAAATTCTGAATCCAACGGTACCCCATTCATGGTATTTGAGCATGACAGGAGCTTATATTTGGTATAAAACCGATTTCGAGCCTTACTGTAATAATATATGTGGGGATTAGATAGATAGATAGATAGAAAATAAACTTTATTCTGGGATGAGGTCCCTTATGGATAACAAAAATTACATTAATCAACATTAAAGAATATTTACAGTATCTTCAGTGAAAGTATATCAAAACAAATAAAAATTATTTAAATGCAAAGAAAAACAGAAAACAGGTAAAAAAATAAAAAACAAAATAATATAAGCATGGGTTGATTTTTAAAATTAAAACTCAAAACAATTTCAACAACCATTCATCTCAGTCAAAATCTGTCTCGCAATATTTATTTCATTGTACAACGTCATTTTGGGATGTGAGAAGGAATTGGTAGAGATGATATTTGAATGAGGACAAGGAAGAGGCATCAGATGGCATGGAATTCCAGAAGGCAATGTAACATTTTTGGGTCGGCCAATAAAGTAATATTAAAACGTCTTAGTTCTATAGTAAGGGATATAAAGGTCGGAAATACATGATCTTGTTTTCTGGGAGTGGACCACGGGTTTGAACTGTAGGAGACTGTAGATGCAGGAAGGATGTCGGGTGTTGATAATTTGGAATAGGAAAGATCCAAGGAAATATTTGTTAATATTATGTAATATTTGAATTTTGTTTCATTCAATATTGTTCTAATACAGTTGCTATATTAATAGGCTAAATTTGATCATTTAGTATTTTTTTAAATTTCTAATCGAGTACCCTTGAAAATTGGCCGGCACCCCTCTAGCATCATAATGATAATAAATTCCTAAGAGTAAAAGGGTCTCAGTGCATCTAATGTAATCGGAGAAGGGAGGAGAGGCATTTCAGTACTCTTATAACACGATGATGAGTAAACCTGTACTAATATGACGTATGATGTATTTCCTTGAGTTAATTTCTAAAAATATATTATGTAATTGTAAATGGTGGTGTAAGGAGTGATTTGACAGAGAATATGCTCAACTGCCAGGTTTTCTCCTTAATTAATTAACTAAGAGTACCCGCTTAATAGAGGATGGTGAGACCAAGGATCTTCTGACCTCAGGGTCGATCCACGTAAATGTTATGTATGACTAACAGAGTAATCTAGGATAATAGATAGTCAGGATTTTCAGTCTAAGTATATTTATTCTTGTATCTACCAAAGCATGGGAGTCATCTGCTCTAAAAATTAAACATAATTTCAAAAGTATAAAATATTGACAGAAAATAATAAATAAGCCAAGATAAAATTTAAATAATATATATAAGATAACAGTAATATAAACATAATAGTGCACTAATTGAAAAAGATTTATAGTATATATTAATTAAATAAATATTGCACATTTTTGTCTTTCTGTTGGCATTACAGACCATCACAGATGGATCTACAGGGTGAGAGGAGGGGGATTTTCGGTCTAGAGCCCCCTCCTCCCAAAATGGTAAAATATAATCATGTTTTACAGAAAAAAAATATTAAAAACTATCTCTTAAAGTATTCTTGTTGGTTTAATTACATTTAATAGGACTTCAAGTGTTCAAAATGAACACCATTTCATATAGGTAGTTAATTTTTTTCTCTTTTTTTCAAATTAATTATCGTTATATGTATATGAAAAAAAAATTCTTTCAGGCTGAAGTTCCCCCCTCCCCCAAAATTAAATCCTGGAACCCCTAGTGCAAACCATGTAGATCTTTTGCTGCCTACTCCATCTCTAGCTGTCTCGGAGTATTTCTTTCCATTTATCTGCACATAGCTCTATTGGATCTTTGTTGATTCTATCTATCCATCTGTTTTTCCACATGGCATTTTGCCTTTTATTGAAGTATTCATTGTTACATAGAGATTTTCAGATGGATTGCTAAGAGCTTCATACCCCGCCCACTTTAACCTCAGTGCCTTCATAAAATGGGATATTGCTTGACCAGTTTCTGTAATCAGTTCTTTATTGGTATTTCTAAATTGTGCACATACATTAATAAATAATACATACAAATAAATAAGTTGTATTTGGCTTTATTAAGAGTTTAAGATGTGTCTTTTCGTAGTATTCTATATTTTTCCCAACCACGTCATTTTTGTTTTTGTCACTTTTCGAGTTTTTATAGGCTCAACTATTCTTAAAGTGACAACTAGGATTTTATATCTAACTGATTATTCTGATTGCCAACGTTTCAATCCGTTGGTTTGCGAACCCAACAATGTGGGTAAACAACATATTAGCTAAAATAAGATCATGTTCAGGTTGTTTTATGCGTAATTCTTATTTATTTATATGATTATTTATCAATATATGTGCACTATTTTGAAAGACCAATGAAGTTGATAAAGTTGACCAATTGAGTTGTTATTGAGAATTTCCTACGAGGATCTCAACTTTTTCAAATCTTGACAAATTAGATTCGAAAACAAATTATAAAATGTCGGAAAATAAAACGTGGGAAAGAAATTCAGCACTTCAATTAATTTCAAAATGTATTATAATTTTCTCAGATGAGCATTAATAAAACATTTAATTCAGTTTTATTCTGTTTTTTTTTTTTACACAGAAATACGAGGGGGGGATAGAACCTCGGTGACGTAGGACTGATATTTATACTTTTTTTTAATTTAATCAAGTCATGTTCTCTTGACTCATATATTAATTTACTAAATTATATATACACGTTATAAGTTTATCAAACATTTTCTTTCTTTCTATCGAAGAAAGTGGAGTTATCTATTCATTCTATTCAGATGAAAGGTTAAAAACGTATTTGAGTTAAGAAACAAATTTACGAAATGTAACCAACTTGATCTATCTATAGTCAAATCCATATGATGGGCATATAATATTAATCCGATTTTGATTAAATTTAGAGGAATTGTGATGATTCAAACCTCTGTAAACACATTATAATAATAATAGTTTTATGTTTGTTATACATTAAACATAATGTATATTATTCTAGATGTTGATTTAAACTTTGTTCTGGCGAAGACTGTAGTCGTAATAAATGATGCCATGTTCAACATTAACTTTTTTGTCATTAATAAAATAATCATGTGTCAAGTATGATTGTATTACGAAATTCAATGTATTTATTTTATTTTCAATTATTCATACTTTGAGGCTCGTTTGTTTCGATGTTTAGGCACAAAAAATTCATGTTATGAGCTCTCGATCAACTAAATAACGCCACTTTTAAACTTTTTAAGGTAGGTACAAAAAAAAAACGATAAAAAATTAATAAAATAAAATAAATGCACTGAAAAATAATAATAATAATAATATGATAAAATAATTTAATAAATAAACTTAAAACAAATAATAGCATTAAAAACAATAAATGAATAAATAAATGAACTTTAAAAAAATAAATAAATAATATGCAAAGAATCATAAGTTATAAACTCGTCATATATGTTTTATAATACTTTCATTGTGTTGGAACTTCATAAAATTAGTAATGCTTTCTTCCTGGTTTCCCAGGGATGTTAATATATTCTGGGCTATTCCAAGATCTTTTAACCTTGCGGTGTATTATCTTAATTATCAGCAAACGTGTTATTATGATACGTCTATACAAGGGTGCCCATCCTTCCCAAGGCCGATGGAGCATAAACCTTCCCGTACCCCTTCCAAGATATTTTATTCCTCTCTTCTTCTTAAAAACAGTGCAAACGAATGTAGAATTTAAATATTCGTAGATTGTAAACCATTACACATCCTGTGGTCTGTTCCATGATTCCACTTGTCTTTTGATTTGGAACTTTTCATTTTGAAAATTAATAACCTTGTCGAAATGTACTCCCCTTAAAAAATTGAAAATCCCCATCAAAAAGTGCCCCCCTCATTGATTTTGATGGCGCAAGTTGCTCCATAAAACCCCCTTCTGGGCACCCCTGCGTCTATACATAAAAAATAGCTCGTTTTATATGACTCTAAGCTGGAGGACAGTAAGAAGTTTGTTAAAAAAAAAATGATTTATCAAATTTAATTCCCTACTTTTGCTTACAATTACGCAGATGTATTTCTCCTTCGATGTATTTTCCATTATATTTAAAAAAACGGATCATTCCATTTGGTCTAAATTTGATGAAAATTTGAGAAATAATTCCCAAATGGTCTATCTATTTCCATGTAACAGTTGTAATTAATGTAATTATTAAGAATATAATGGCTGTGAAATGTAGTTGGCAGTAAACGTATGACAATGAAAGGTTATATAAGTTTTTTTTTAACTTGATGAGTTTATTATAATTTTTTTTTATTGGATTATTCCTTTCAGTTATAAACAAAATTATCATTTTAGCGAATTGTACATGAAAAATGCGTATTTTCTTATGTACACAAATTGGAGTTGATAGCACTCCTTTGGTTTTGAAGCAAAGAACTCTTCACAACCAATGTTTATGTCCTCTTTATAATCGAAGATCCGACCTTTTATAAAAAATGAGCCATTCATCTAAACAAATTATGATCTGATGATGCAATACCGATAAAAGTTTGAGTCCACTATCTGATCATCAGGAACAAGCTCAAAATGCAAAACGCCATATTCGCCAAACGGCTCTTATTTTCATGGTCGAAACGCCTGAACTAAACTACACAATACGTTTTGTGTTAGGAATTTCAAGAGATACGCATATAACCCAGTATTACACCAAGTTGAAGTGGCTCTATCCATCCATCCGCCGTCTGTACTTCCTTGCTACCTTTCTATACCAAGCCATCAGAACTCAGCGGCCTTCCTATATTTCCCACAGCCTACAATTTAAATATTCCATTCAATCCCGTCCCACTAGATCCCGTACTTCTGACCTCCTCACCGAACTGCTGCGTTTGACAAATCCTTTATATTTCAAGCCGCCTCCACCTGGAATACCATCCCACCCGATATCCGACATGCGCAATCAGTTTCCTCATTTAAATCTCTCCTTTTTAAGCACCTACTTCTTTCCCAACCCGACTGATCAAGAAAAGTAGATAATAGAAATTTGTAAGTTCTCCCAGAAATGATTTTGTATTGATTTTGATTGATAGAAGTGTTAATTTGGTATGTTAAGGTACAATTTTGAATAATAGCCCATTATAGAGACGATGAAATGTTGAACGATTCCCTCACTTGTAGTACACAAGTCCGATTTTTTAGTTTCTGAGATAATTTAATCCACATTTTCAATAAAACTCGTTATAATTTCGTTTTCGACACAATATTTTCTTTTTTTCACATCACTAAGACGGTCTCGTGTTAAGATGCAAATTTGAATAATAGCTCATTACAAAGAAGATGAAATTATGAACATTTCCCTCACTTACAGTATGCAGATTCGATTTTTAGTTTCTAAGATATTCCAATCCATATTTTCAATAAAACTCTTCATTATTTTTTTTTCGACACAATTTATTTATTCCACACGTTATTATTTGGTTTTTACCTTTTAACCTCACTAAAACGGTGTTACGTTAAGATACAATTTTAAATAATTGCTCATTATAAAGAGGATGAAATGATGAACATTTCCCACGCTTACAGTATGCAGATTCGATATTTGGTTTCTGAGATATTTTAATCCATATTTTCAATAAAACTCGTTATAATTTGGTTTTCGACACAATATTTTCCTTTTTTCACCTCCCTAACACGGCGTCACGTTAAGATACAATTTTGAATAATTGCTCATTACAAAGAGGGTGAAATGCTGAACATTTCCCTAGCTTACAGTATGCAAGTCCGATTTTTAGTTTCTTAGATATTTTAATCCACAAGCAAAAACACTTCAATAAGACTTTACCCGAGAGTTCCACATCAGAGATCTGACGGATCAATCTCTAATTCACTCTCCACAAAAAAGCGCCATACGCGCCTAAAGAACTTTTCACTTTAATATATCACAAGGAATTAAACGATAAGCCAAAGTAGACATTGACATAAATAGCAGGAAAAAATATTTTTATTAAAATAATTATGAGAATTGTAATTAAGAGTTGTGTTTATGCATGAGGACTTTTGTTAAAACCTTGTAAGAATTGGAAGTTAGCAAGATATTGTTTAGGTTAATAAAATATTTTAATAATTTAATACAAGTGTTATCTATTCAGGTGAATTTCAACAATTTGACTATGGCCCAATTGGAAATATGAAAAAATACAACTCGATGAAGCCACCAAAATACGATTTAAATTTACTTACTACACCAATAGGTCTTTTCTGGTGTTACAATGATCAGTTTGCAGATGAAGAAGTAAGTGAATTAGTTAAATATTGACAATTGAATTGTTGAAATGGACACAAGTGCGATATGATAAATTATTAAATTTTTTTTCTCGAATAATTTTATATTAGTCCGTAGTACAGGCCCCTTTTTATCAAATATCCCTTATTATTAATATCCGGCTGAAATTTCCTAAATAGCTTCAGATTATCGTAACCTACAAATATTATATTTACGAAAATTCTCGGAATCGAGTCGTTTTCGAGGGCGATGGAGGGTGGCAAACTTTGTCTATTTAATCAGGTATATTTAATCTGGTAAATATCCATTTGATTTCCATTTGGATCGGAAGATAACTTGAGCACAAAATCGATAAACATATTGGCCTACAAACATATTGGGCCGTTTGGCCAATATAACTTCGTTATTTTAAAAATTTTTGGGTGTCGGTAACGCCAAACGGCTCAATATTTTTGAAGACCACGTTTTGTTCTCGAGTTTGTGATCAAATTATCTTACAATCCAACTAGAAAGCAAATGTATATTTACGAGTTTTTAGTACTTAATTATATAGACAAAGTTTGCCGACTTCCAGATTGAAAACGTTCCAATTCAGAGAATTGTCTTAAACAAAATATTTATAGATTACGATGAGATGAAGTTATTCACGAAGTTTCAGCCGGATGTTAATAATTTGATAAAAAGGGGGTACCACGGACTATATTTTTTTGTAGATAATGAATAACAAGTGTAAGAAATTATGGAAAAAATATCATTTTTAAATCTATAAGAATCTATTGTTCTCGACTATAGTCGATCCGTTGTATAGTTTAAAGCACTATTCTTCAAACTATTCGCCAATTTGCCTCACATAGCCATACCACCTGAGTCTTCTTTCTTCCATTACCTCTAAGATATTTTGCTTTATTTCCAGTCTCTCACTGATTGTGGTGTTTCTTACCATTTTGATTCTTGATATCCTAGCAACTCTCCTTCAAAAATCCATTTCAACTGAAAGAAATTTTGTTCCCTGGTTCATACTGAGGGCCATGTTTCCGAAATTTTTTTTTTCTTGTTAGCATTACAGACCATGTACATCTTTTGCTGCCTTAACAAGCCTGTTCCATCTCTACCTGTCTTGGGCTATTTCTTTCCTTTTATCTGCATGTAGCTCTATTGCATCTTTGTTGATTCTATCTATCCATCTGCTTTTTGGTCATCCGCGTGGTCTTTTGCCTTCTATTGAGGCATTCATTGTTATGCAGAGGCTTCCAGATGGATTGCTACGAGCTACATACCCATCTTAACATCCGTGCCTTCATATCATGGGATAATGATTGATCAGTTTCTGTAAGCACTTATTTATTGGCCTTTCTTCTCCATATGTTAGTACTCTTATCCCAGATTGCTCTGGTTATCGTGCGGATCTGGTTATCGTGAGGATCTTTCTCTCAAATCCTTCAACACTTTTTTCTAGGGTGCTGGTTAGTGTCCAGGTCTCACAGCCATATATTAGAACTGGCTTCATCATAACGTTATACACCCTTAATTTGAGATCTCTTGAAATGTTTCTAGATTTCAATACCTGTAAAAGGGAGAAAAAAACTCTGTTTGCATTATTTATATGCTGGTCTATTTCTTCCCGTTGGTCATTCATTGAGGTTATTGTGGAGCCGAGGTATTTGAATTTTTCTATTCTCGGGAACGATCATGTCATTGGTCTCCGAACCATTAAACTTTCTTCCAAAGCTTTTTATATTAGTTTTTTTTTATTTATTAAAATATTGCTACTCCTGAATAAAGAATTAAGCATTCACACTGCTTTTTTTACCATTTTGTGATCCTTTTTTGGATTTGTTCTTCTATTCTCCCATTACTATTAATTATAGATCCCAAATAACAAAATTGTTTCACTTTAATTAGGTTGTATATTGTTATGTAGGTGCTCTCTTCTGAATACAAATAATTTAATTGAGTTGTACCCTCAATATAATTGAATAGCTTAACTAAACGATTGTTATTCAGTTTATCAGTTTTGTTATACCAGATTAAATTTACAGTACGCAATTTAACCAAGAAGAAATGAAAGAGAAAAGAAAGTTTTAACAATCCAAAATCCTGACTTTAATTTTAGGTTATTATTTGAGAAGAAACATGTATATGATTTATTTATTATAATATTTAATTTTAGAGCGTGAAGAGATTGGAAAATGCACTACCCAATCTTTTAGTGAGCTTTCCAATAGCGGACAGAACCTTCTCTCATCTGGACATGGTTATTGGTGACAATGCTAACATTGTACTATACCCTTATATCATAAAAGAAATCGATTCCATCAATAAGAAAAAAATGCGAGAAAAATTATGAGAATTGATGTAAATTTTAAAAACACAATTGGTTTTTATTTTTATAAGCTTGATGTGATATGAAAATAAAAGTGATTGTTTGATTTTTATTTAAATGCTGACATTGCATTTCATTCCATGTTCTATTGAACCTTATTCATGAACCTTATGACCCTATGCTGTAAAATCTTATGAATGCCCATTTCCTTTCCAGTAGAACCCCGATAAATCTCTAGCCAGCTTGTAATTTATCTAACGGAAAATGGAACTGAGGTAAGAAATAAATATTCCGTTAGTGGTGTATGATGATCTAAGGAAACATTAAATGGAATGAATTTGTTAGTTCCCTCTTAGTTTATGTCAAACTTCGAATGAAGCCTAACTATTTAATTGTGATTTAATAAAAGAAAAAAAGAAATAAAATGGACTGTATCTTCAAAACATTTATTTTGGAACATTTACGAAATCTAATATTGAAAACATAAAAACAAAATTAATCAATTTTACACTTGTTAGATAGGTAAAAAAATAACAAACTTCTAGCATAAAATAAAGACCAGCTGAACAAACAATTGTGACAATATTTTTTTTTTATTTTTTAGCTTTAATGTTTTATTCACACCTGTCATAATGCTAATGACAACCAGTGAATGTGAGATCGATTGATTAATAGAATTGTCATGAAAGGCATGAGGAGGATCAGTGCCCAGCGGCACCTCACTCGGCGTGATATCTACATTAGGCGAGGAGGTCCCTCATCCAGCTCCTCTTCAGTCTTCTACAGACGTTACCTGGCATATTCGTAGTGGCCATGTCATTTATAAGTGTATTAGGATGTCCTTGTATGTTGCTGTGGAATCGTTTGTAATTAATACGTATGTGTTCGTTAACAGTCGGCATATGGAGGTCAGTATGTAAGGTTATGTTGCTAACGTACCAAGGTGCTTTTGTAATTGTTCTGAATGTTTTTGCTTGAAAGATTTGAAGTTTGTGAGTCTTTTTAGCAGTTTCAAATATCTGTGATGCGTAAGTCCAAATAGGTTTTAGTAAGTAATTGTATGTGTTCAATTTCTGTCTAAGTTTTAGTTTTGAATTTTTTGAAAGAAGTGAACTCAGAATTCTTAATCTTTGATTTAAAGTTTTTCGTTTTTTGATTATAAGTGGGCCCCACGTCGTTTTTCTGTCAAATGTCAGACCAAGGTAGTGAACGGTGTCTGTCTGTGGAATCTGTGTATCGTCAAGGAAAACTGGAGGGCATGTTTCATGTCGAAGCGTAAATGTGATGTGCTGTGATTTGTCTTGATTTAGTCGGATTTTCCAAATTTTGAACCAGTCATGTAATCTTGTTAAATACTGTTGTAGGGTCTGTGAGGCGTATGTTGGATTTTTGTGTCTTGCTAACATTGCTGTGTCGTCTGCATATGTCGCTGTTAAAATGTTGGGACTACAAGGTATGTCATGGGTGTATGTGATATAGAGTAGTGGAACGAGTACTGAACCTTGAGGTACTCCTGCTGAGATAGACCTTATGGAAGATAGTTCTGACCCGTGTCGGACAGAGAAAAATCTATCGGAAAGGAAGGATTGTAGAATTAGATAATATGTAGGGACAATATTAATGAAAAATTTCATGCTTGATCATAAATAAAACTATTTCTATGGCCCAAATTATAATAAAAAAAACAATAAAAAAAAAAAACTTCTCTAAAGTCATAATATGAAATTTATATATATATTTCATATATATATAAAATATGTACTGTCAATTCTACCGCCTTATGACTTGAACCTAGCACTTGTTTATAGCTAGTGCTACTAAAATCCATAACAAAGTAATCCAAGTATAAATTATTGATTTATTTAATATAAACAATATAAGCTATGGGCCTATAATACTTAATATATACATATCTTATACATAAATATACATATTATTAATTGATTTCACTTTGCTAAAATAAAACAAATCAACAATTAATCAAACTAGTTAAGTGTAAAATAAATTTAATTAACGCATGTGGCGTTTTTAACTGTAAAAATAAACTAACTGTGGCGTTAACAGAATTAAAAAGTAGAAAGCGGATAGAAATAAGAATTTTCAGAAGCATTATGTATTTTTTATATTGGCGACCCCTCGGTTCTGCCCGCGTGCCGGCAATGGATGCCCGGAAGTATTTACTATGATATTATTGATAAATTTTAATATTAATATATTTTAAAAACAAATTTGCCTTGACATAGCGAAATCATTTGATAGTGTCTGGCACAAGGGCCTATTATGGAAATTAAAACCGCACTTATCTTCTACTTATTTAATCATTCTTTCTTAACGGTAGTTTCCGTAGATTATTCTGATTCCCCTTTCTTTCCTCAACACATTGGTGTGCCACAAGGTAGCCTCATAAGCCCAAGTCATTATTCGTTATACACTTCTGATATCCTTGAGCACCCTTTTCTTCCAATAAAAATCCTACTATCGCATCAATTGCTCTTCAAAAGCACCTCTATGATCTTCAAAATTGGTTTGAAATATGAAAGATCTAGTGCGCGCATCACACGAATTTCACTTACCACTCCCTTCTTATCAGAAATAATTATTTTCAGACAAAGGGGAAGTGAAAGTAAAAATTATTGACCCTCTATTTATTTACAATTTATTGTGGGAATTTTTGTTTGTTTAAATGCTTTTCTATTTATACAAATTTTAATTTTTATATCACTGTATTCTATACAATTAAATATTAAATAATATTAACGATACCATTTATGAAAATCGCATATGTATATGAACATAATTTTGTCGGAGTCCGTATTATATGAAGCTCATGTTACGTATATTACGTAATTGAAACATTATTACAACTATTATCCGTTACGATCTCTTATTTCTCCTTTAGTTAGTTATCAAATTCTTTCATATTTGATATTTAACTATTTTTTACATTAGAGATCAATGTGAAATTGTTAATTATTTCAAATAAAATAAATAAAGGAGCTTTAGGGGAAGCCTATATTGAAAATGAGCCGTTTAAGCCCCGATAGAGGACATCAATGAGAATAAAATCTACATTATATTAAAAACTGCTTAACAATACACTGATATACTGAGTTTAATCAAAATCTTTAGAGCCTTTTTAAGAAAATCTTAAAATTTTGTTAAATCGACACCGAACAAGGAGCTTCATGGAGGGCCTTGGTGTCGACATAAAGGACGTGGCAAGGTTGGCAGAGAACATAATCCTTGACTCCCTGGGAATTATCCATCACCATGTGCATGGATAGAGAGTTTGTTCGTGGGGGGAGGCATGCGTGTTTTACAGCATTTTTTACATTATTTATTGACCACGTCCACTGCACTTTATGTATTTGTATGCATGTTATGAATTAGGTTAGGAAAAGAGAGGAGAAAATCTAGGGAACGAGAAAAATGTATAGAGTGAGAGAAGGAACAGAAAGGGATGTATAGTGCTAATAAATGAATTAAAGAAATAGTAAAAATAAAATAAATAAAAAAAAAAAATAAATAAATAAAAATATAGGAAAAAAAATTATGATAAAAAAAAATATATATAGATAAAAAAAAAAAAATTGTATATTATGCTCATATATGTTGTTAATACTATATAATTGTATATTAGTTTTGGAAAATTGTCTGTAGCGATTAATAAGTATGCTGTGTTTAAAGCAACCCAATGTAATTGGGCAGCACCCTTTTATGATAATAAAGTGATTCTCTAAGGTAGGATTTTATTAAATAAGTAGATATAGCTCAAAAACTATTCGAGATAATTAAATTCAAAGTACATTATCGTTAGGTATACAAATTTCTTTTGAAAAACAGTGATTAAATATAGTACGGTGACTGATAAAGGGAACTTTAAACGTACTAAGGTGAATGTTAAAAGAGACATTCATAGGGCCTAATATGGCCACTGTATTGCTGCAGTTAAAGTACCCTTACACGAGCAGCATATCTCTCTACAGCAGCCGTATTAGACCTCATGACCACTAGCTGATCCAGGATTTAATTTTTTTGGGGGGGGGGCTTCAGCCCGAAAGCTTTTTTTTTCATAAAAATGACGATAATTATTGGAAAAAAAAGAAGAAACTAACTATCTATATGAAATGGCGTTTAAGTGATTGCTTAAGTCCTTTTAAATGTAATTACACGAACAATAATACTTTAGTACATGATTTAATATTTTTTTCCATAAAACATGGTTATATTTTACCATTTTTTTGGGAGTGGGGGAGGGAGGAGGGAGGGGCTTCACCACGTAGATCCACCCGTGTTCCTAACAGATCCTTTTATTCTTGAACTTCGTAAATAAATCACTTTAAAAAAAAAATTGTCTACTTTACAATGGTATTTAATTATCTTAAACAATTTTTCAGCGAATCCTTCTTATTAAATAAAAAACATGACCACCTTAAGGAAAATACATGACCCATGCACCAACCGAACTTTTTTGTTCGAAATTTAATCTAGAGTATTTTATATATATAGGTAAGTGAAAGTAAAAAGAACATCGATTTGACAAGAGGCAAACGGAAGAATTGAATAAATACAACTGCTGTTATCAGGTTGAAGGAATAGTTTATTCGTTGTAAATCAAGAACTGTTATTTTTAAACTTTGATATTTTCTCTACCATATGCTAATGGTAATACGAAATAATAACGAGATCATTTTCTTATGTAACTTTTGGCCATTGTTAAGGTTTTGAGCAATTATCCCAATTATTCCTTGTAATTACTCACGTGTATGTTACTAATAAAATTTTCATTAACGTATGTATTTTTAGTATTTTTCGTTTTGATATCCTTACTTTAAAAACTCCATATTATCATTTCAATATGCATTACTATTTTTTGAAAAATAAAATAATAAAAAAATACATTGAGTCCTTCTTTAAAATGAGGTGTGTTCCTGCTAATAAAGGAAAAACAAATCTGACAATTTAAAATGTCAGAGTATTTAAATAATGAATAATATCTGAGCACATTATCTTATTGTAACTATTGGTACATATTTATTTGTATAAGAATAAAAATAATAAAAAAACAAACAATAGATGCATTCAGTGGCATTGAGAGTAGGAAGATATTCTAAAATCCCTAGTGAAGTTTACAGTATGGAATGGTACTGTCATTTGATGATGAATTATATAATTTAAATGTATAATATCAAAAGTTTATGAAGCATCTGACTGTTTTGGGGGTAGGAATTGGAATAGGAGGGTTTTGAATGTGGATATGGAGAGGGAATGCTGAATTTTGATAGGTAGTTAATTCCAGAAATTGACAGCGCGAGCTATAAAGGAGTTTTGAAATGAGGCACAAAGGAGTTGTGAAAAGGGATGTAGAGGTCAGAAGGTCGAGATCTTGTTGAAAGGAAATGGACTGAGGCACGGGCGGATCTACGGGGGAGGGGCTTTCGGGCTGAAGCCTCCCCCCCCAAAATGCTAAAATATAAGTTTTTCGAAAAAAATATTTAAAAAGTATCTCTTAAAGTATTATTGTTCGTGTAATTACATTTAAAAGAGCTTTAGGGCACTTATACACCATTTCATATAGGTAGTTAGCTTCTTTCTTTTTTTCCAAAGTAATTATCGTTATTTTTATGAAAAAAAAAACTTTCGGGCTGAAGCCCCCCCAAAATTAAATCCTGGATCCGCTAGTGGACTGAGGACTTGAATTGGAGAAGGTTGTAGGCGTAAGAAGGACGATACGTATGGAAGCGTGTTCTAATCTTTCGGGTGAGCTTGGGTGCGCTCGTATTCCCAAAAACTGATTTTTCATGTTAGAAATTAATGTGAAATTGTCAATTGTTTCAAATAAACAAAGGTACTTTAGAGGAAGCTAATATTGAAAATTAGCCGTTTAAGCCTGCTTAATGTTACACTGATCTGATGAATTTAATCAAAATTGTTAAAGTGGTTTTCGAGATAATCGTAAAAATGTGTTTAATGCATTATATAAAATACCACTTCCGGTTTGCCGATTTTGAAGAAAATGTTGCTGTAACATCGAAAGGTTATATTATTATTAAAACACTTTATTCAGAAATATTACAATTTGTCACAGTTTAAGGACACTTATAATAGAGTTCAGAGATTGCATTCATACCGTATATACAAAAATATAAATAAATAAAGTAATAACAAAAGAATAAGAAAAAAGAACAAAAGAGTAAAGAAAAAAAAAATATATATACACATAAGTAAATAAAAATAGAAATAAAAGTAAAACAAACACCTTATATAAAACATACCTATATACATTAAAAGGTTATAAAAACCTTAAATATGCAATTTCACTTTCATACGACTTTTGATTTTTATATTGATAACACACACACACATACACACACACATACACACACACGCACACACTGACCATTTTGCGGGACTTGGTTATTTGGACTCAGGAGACCTCAAAACATATATTTCCGTTTAAAACTCATTCTTGAAAATTTTTACGATCACAATACATACCCTTTCTATACATTACATATATAGGCAAGTGAGAGTAAAAAAAAATCTTATTGAAAACAAATAATTAAATATGTTTGACGAATGATAATAGATTTTTTTGAGGTATGCATAGTAAGGTATGATCCTTGTCATAAACTCATATCCTTCCGGTTTCAGTAAATAATTATGTAAAACAGCCAGAAATTAATTCATATTTATACCTTTTGTTATTTCTGAAATTCCGGCTGACATTGAATAGGAAAGAGCTTTGAGAATTAGATGAAATAAATTATATGTGACTACCGTTTCCTCTACCACCGCCAGTCAGTGGAATGATGTTGTTGCTCCTCTACATCAACTTCTTTGCCTCCATCCAAGGATCGGCCGGAGCTGCTAAAAAACCTCGATCTCTCCCTTCAGTACCTTTCGTACCTAGTATAGTGAGTATTATAATTTAAATATTTATTTATTATTTCTCAAAGGTGTTTTATTTTGTCGTAACGCAATTACTGCGTCAATTCTTCGTGAAATCTAACGATTAAGCTATTATTTTGAAGATCTTCTTCTCCTTCAGATGAGAAAAATAGTCACCCTCCCTACCCCAAGAAATTTCAGTGAAAAAAATGTATTTGCGAATAACTCATAAAGTATGCATTTTTTTTCTTGATTTTACCCATTATTAATTGACGGATTACTAAATCCCTAAAGACAAAAAAAAAGTCATCGGAATCGATTAGAAATTTGTAAATTTGAAACAATTTGTACCGACCTAGGAGCAAAGTGGGTTCAAATATTTTTTTTTTTTTTTGTAAAGAGAAATATACTTGAAGTTTGTATTTAAACAAAAAACAAAAACTACAAATTAGAGCCGAGTCTCCCTTCTTGGATTTTTTTTTTCGAAAATCACAAAAATGTGATAACTTCAACATGCTTCAACTTATCAACACTAAAATTAGTAGGGATTTAGGACGATATAAACTACACGAAATGACATAATCCCGACTGTAAAAAACATTTTACAACTAGAGATTAAATTTAAAAAAGTGTTGGGAATTTTTATTTATTTATTCCTTATGGACTTGTTAGATCAAAAAGTTATATATATATATAAGGTTTTGAAGGGCAATAATTCAGCTTTCCAACTGCTAAAGAAACATTGAATTAGAATAAAATCATGAGGAGTTATGGATGTTATAGTTAACGGCAGGGAAAAACCATATAATGAAAAGTGAATTCGTTGCTAAGGTAACCAAGATCAACACAGCAATATCTTTATTTATTATTTATCAAAGGTGTTGTTTTTTTTCGTAAGACCATAACTTCGTCAATTCTTCAACAAATCTAAGGATTGAGTAGTCATTTTAAAGATCTTCTTCTCCTTTAGGTGGGAAAAATCCCCCCAAAATAGAAGGAAAAGAAACTTTATTGATTGTACCCATGATTAATTGACAAATTACTGAATTCCCTACAAGACAAAAATTGGATCATTATTTCTAAAGATCCTCTCCTCCCAAGGCTAATGGGCCATGCCTCCCCCCCCAAAAAAAAAAAAAATATTGCTGCACTCACTTATATAAATGATACGTATCTATACAGAGGTGCCCATCATCCCTTCCAAGCCCGATGGCACAAAAACCTCTTACCCCTCCCAAGATATTTTATTCGACTCTTCGTCTTAAAAACAGTGCAAGCGAAAGTAGAATTTAAATTTTCGTATATTATATACAATTACACATACTGCAATCCGTTCCATGCTTCCATTTCTCTTTTAATTTGAAACATTTCATTTTGAAACTTCATAACCCCATCGAAATGTGCACCCCTCAAAAATTGAAAACCCCCTCTTTATTATGAGGAGGCACTTATTCCCCCTCATAAATTTTGATCTGGGTATCCCTGCTAAATATACAGTTCATTAGATTTGATATAAATAAAATGGTCATCCTCTTCGAAGATACTGCCATTACTATTTTTTCCTGGCTAATATATACTGCATTATTTCTAACAGGAATTTTATTTTTTGTTGGTGCAATTTAAATTTTTTATCTTGAATATGAAAGATATTATTCTGCTTTTAGAAACAGGCCCTTGAAAAATAATCGGTCTAAATATTTTGGTATATTGCGTTAAATGATGAAATATTGTATTCGACCAAGGAAAACACAAGTAACTCCTTCCTCACAAAGTACATAACCTTATTTGCATAACATTTTTTCGTTTCTTTATTAAATGTATTCAGCTAATTATTCGCGCCAACTCGTATATATTATTACATAAACCTGGATGTGTGTTTGTTTAAAAACGCTAATTTCAGGAATCATAAGTCATATTTGAAAATATCATATAGCTTCAAGGATGTTTATTGTTTTGGTTTTAATTGTAATATATAATTGAAAATATCTTTAAAAAATACAATTTAATATATAATGTCATACCAGATTGAAACGAGAAGAAACCGCTCGACGTTTCCGATTACTTCAGTACTTACTGAACAAACACTCTAAACTTTCAATTAATTACAAAAGACTCATATGCATGACTATAATAAGGCCTATTTGGACTTACGGAGTTGAGCTATGGGGCTCCACTAAACCATCGAGTTCCTTTCGTATCCAATCCTTACAATCCAAAATCCTTCGTAAAATCCTCAGTGCTCCCTACTGTCTCACAAATAAAACCATCCATAATGACCTTAATGTTTCTTATTTTTCAGATCTGGCCCAATCCAGATATCTATCCTTCCATAATAAACTTCAGAATCATCTTAACCCTTTCGTTTCTAACCTTGCTTCCTCTTCAATTAGCAACCCTCCGAGGCCATTGGGTAGTTACTCAGCAAGTGTTTTCACCGTATGTTCAAATTTACTAGATGTATTTTTTTTTATATAGTTGTAAATATCATTAAGAAATAATAATAATTAAAAAATAAATGTAATGTATGTTTTAAGATTAAACGTTGGGAAGAGAGAAGACAGCCTTCATAACATTGGTACATTTCTAGAAGTTTTTCGGTTGAAAATGGTTAGTGTAAAAAAGTGAAAAATATCTTTGCTTTCTTATTGTGTACAATATCAAATAAAAGTACAGCGTTTTTTACAGTGCTTTCCGGAAATATGATAATGTGATAAGAATATCACCTAAAATTGATGTGTGGTTAAATGATAAAATCTTAGTATATATCGATATATCTTATTACAATTGAATGTAAATGTCAACTTTCATAAAAGTAACATTTAGGTATCGATATAATAGTTACATACCTACTACTAGGCCCTTGCCCAGCTAGTCGACTTTTCTTAATCGATTTGAGTTTATATATTTTATTCATTCAGTTACTTCATCGAATCCCAAGATAGTCACATCCCCCCAACATTAAAAAAAAAAAAGGTTATGAAGAAAAATAAAGTTAAATTTATATAACTCAAATCACTCAAAAAATATACACTTTTTTGAAAGACACAACATCTTGTTTGTAACCTTGATTCTTAACAAAATTTTCAAAAACAAAATTCATTTGATGTATATGTATATAGATTCCGAACGGAAAAGACCAATTTTGTGTTTTCTTGGCGTATTCACGGTATCTATTGAATAAGAAGTTATAGCTAAAAAACTGTTAAAGATTATTAAATTCTAAGTATGTTATTGTTAAGCAAACAAATTTCTTTTGAGAAAACAGTGATTAAAGTTAATAAGGTGAATAATGAAAGAAACATTAAACATACTAAGGTCAATGATAAAAGGCACTTATAGGAGATCTAATATGGCCGCTGTACTGCTGCAGATACAGTACCCTTACACAGGCTGCATTTCTCTGTACATTGGCCGTATTTGACCTCCTGACCACTAGCGGATCCAGGATTTAATTTGGGGGGGGGGCTTCAGCCCGAAAGCTTTTTTTTCATAAAAATTACTTTGGAAAAAAAGAAAGAAACTAACTACCTATATGAAATGGTGTTTAAGTGATTCCTTAAGTCCTTTTAATTGTAATTACACGAACAATAATACTTCAAGAGATAATATTTTAATACTTTTTTCCATGAAACACGGTTATATTTTACCTTTTTGTTTTGGGTGGGGGAGGCTTCAGCCCGAAAGCTTCCCCCCCACGTACATCCACCCGTGTTCCTGACAGTAAATTTAATAAGGTGGGCAGGGTGGCCGAATGGGCTAACGCGTTGTGCACAGCACCAGCGTTGCCCGGTAATCTGATATATGACAAATGTTATAAAAATAGTCACTATTCGCGTCCCTGTGCCAAGGGGTCTTTTAAATCCCTGCCCACACACCCTGGCCCGGGAAAACCCCGTATAGCCTTAACGGCGAGGAAAGGGAGGACCCAAAAAAAAAAAATCGCTTTAAAAAAATTGTCTACTTTACAATGGTATTTAATTATCTTAAACAATTTTCAAGCAATTCCTTCTTATTAAATAAAAAAAACATGACCACCTTAAGAAAAATACATGACCCATGCATCAACCGAACTTTTTGGTTCGAAATTTTTTATAGAGTTTGACCCCCAATCACCCTCCAGAATTTGACCATTAAGAATTGAGATACTGTATATATATATTCAAACTTCACTATTTTATTGGGAATAAGGTCACTTAATTATTATTTAATAAACTAATTAATGTTCATTTCTTCTGTTTATTGACGTTTCGATCCCGGTATTTTCTTTTTATTAGTCAACCATGGGATCCTCTTCAAAGCTAGAATTAAAAAAAAATAGAGCTTCGATCAGGCCAGGGACACACCGACAGCCTCAGCACCGTCCACTAGCACATATATATTAAGCTACTGGTATATATATATATATGCATGTATGTGTGTGTGTGTGTGTGTGTGTGTGTGTGTGTGTGTGTGTGTGTGTGTGTGTGTAAGTGAAAGTAAAAAGAACAATGATTTGGCAAGAGGCAAACGGAGAAATTGAATAAAAACAAATGTTGTTATCCCTTTGGATGAATAGTTTATTCGTTGTAAATCAAGAACTGTTGTTTTTAAACTGTGATATTTTCTCTACCATTCGCTAAAGAAAACACGAAATAAAAAAAATATCGATAATTTTCTTTCTTACATAACTTTTGGCCATTGTTAAGGTTTTGCCCAATTATTCCTTCTAATTACTCACGTGTATGTTACTAATAAAATTTGCATTAACGTATGTATTTTTAGTATTTTTCGTTTTGATATCCTTACTTTAAAAACTCCATATCATCATTTAAATACGCATTATTATTTGTGTAAATTTATTCTATTTTTTCTTTTTTTAATCTCAACCTTAAAGACTAGAGAACATGAATATTCTCATAAGATTAAAGAAAAGTACTTACACAACTAATTAGCTAGATGTTGAAAGGTTAATTTCGCTTGTAATATTTGTGGGAATAAATGGTCCATACTGTGACAGCGGTCACAAGATGTAACTGAAAGTAACCGA